TGCTTTAGTCTGTCCCATATTTGCTTTGATGTACATCTTAAAATAGAAGAAGAAACTACATCTAACTCAAGCGTAACATGAAGTGCCATGTGAAAATCTTGCGTAATGACGAGAATGTTTACAAAATTTTCTTTCCCATTATTCCAACGATGAAGCTGTTTTATTACTATCAGAACCATATGCAGTGTTAATGCACCAAATGGCAGTGTCAACAACCTATATAGGCCCGTGATAGGGTCTGGTTAATGCCCCGTGCATTGAGAAATATCCAAAAAATTTAGCCGTAACAGAAGAACCTCGTCCAGATTATTCAAGTTATTGCTATTAGAACTGGATTAATAGAATCATTTCACCACTAATAAAGATACAAAACATTCAGGAGAAAACCTTGTCCAGCAGCAGAAATGCGATCCTGCATTGATTACAGATATCAGGAGGACACAAGACAGAGAAGTTTAATGTCTCCAGAAAACAATGATAGACTCATGACTGCCACTTTCTTCGAAAGACCTAAGATGGTGAGTCATTGAAGGAGTGAAACAAGCTTTCAAACCATTTCAGCTAAAGGGAAAACTGGCAGCCTAAGAAGAGCTTAACACAAAGCAAATTTGAGCAGAAAGTGTTCACTTAATCCACTGGAATCTGTCGGCGCTTGTACCGTACCATGACTTTGCCTTTCACACCCACAACCATGGCATTCCAGTCTATCTCCGGAAAAGGTGAGATCAATTCCAATTCAAAGTTTCTCAACAAGTGGCTCCAGATTGCTTTTATTTGTAAATATGCAAATGGCTCTCCTAGACATCCATGCCTGCCACCACCGAAAGATATATAAGAGAATGCTCCTGCCACCTTGTCTTCATCTCTTCCTGGAGCAAATCTGTCAGGGTCATAAGTGTCAGGATCTTTGTAAACATGTGGGAGGCGATTGGCGAAAGCAGGAGATGTGGCAACTATATGGCCCTTGGGAATATCATACTCTTTTCCATCCTTGGTAGTGACACTGAAATCAGTGTGCGAGCTGCGTAGCAGCATTACCAAAGGAGGGTGGAGTCTTAGAGCTTCTTTTACGCAATGGTAGAGGACTTCCATGTCAGATAAGATGTCATGATCAACCTTATCTCCATGCTTCTTCATCAGATTCTTCTGCTCATCCAAGACTTGCGACATGTATTTCTTGTTGCAGAGGAGGTAAGCCCCAGTCCAAGTGGAGGTGATGGAACTGGTGTGCTGGCCTGCAAAAAGGGCAGCAATGAGCAGGCCAGTGACCTCAGCTTCAGTTGTTGGGCGTCCATCTTTGTATTTGGAGTCCATAAAGCACTGTAACATATCATTCTGTGTCTTCCCACTTTGTCTACGAGAAGCAATTATGCTGGCAAAGATTGCTGCAAGCTTCTTGCGAGCCTTGTCACGACGGTGATGGGCAGGTATTGGCAGATATGGATAGATGACACTGATGGGGAGCATACCGTTGTCGAGGTCATGGAAGAGAGCAGAGACATCATCAAATAGCTTGTTGCGTACCTCTTCTCCCAAAAGGCATCTACTTGCAGTCAGAATAATTAGGTGCTCCAGTTCATATTTCAAGTCCACTTTGCCGCTGTCTCCCCATTTTGAGAAATAATCCTTCACAGACCAAGAAAAAGAACAAGGAAAAGGTCAGAGCCTGGTAGCAAAGTATGTGAGGCACTACTTTTTGACGAAGTTGTTTTGTAAATCAAAACACACTAGCACCTGATTTGGTTCCTTTTTTTTTTAAATTTATTTTGGGGTCAAATAATTTGGGTCATCTGAATAACTCTATATCAGGGAACGGGGCAAAATAGCATACAAAGGAAGTCTCTTTTGTGTCATGTTTAGAATCTTTTAGACTCTTGCAAGTTGTCCAATAAATTTACACACAGAGGATGGAACCTTCAATTAAGACAGGAGAGGGTCAAGAGCATGTTAATGGGCAGAAAAGACAGGCACTTGACCAAACAGAGGGAAGTAGAGCTTGATATATATTCAGGTTCAACTTCAATCATGGTTTTGCTTCTTGAAATGATAATGTAATCCTCCATTATTAATCTCCAGTGCATAATGAAATGAACAATGCGACAGTGGAATAATTTTACTCACGCTGAGTATAAAGCATAATGCATAAGTAAGAAATACATACTACTGCCATTATTTTTTTAAAAAAATAAATAAATAAATACTCCATTAGTAGAAAAGAAGCGTGGAAGGACAAAAGAGCAAATTTAGAGTACTCAATGCACTAAACTACACAGGACCATGCGTTCTAGTACGAGTTACCTATCTGGGGAGGCCTCCTTCCTAATGTTAGAGAATTCTGCATTTAGATTGAGATTAAGGAAAGATGAGATGCCAGAAGCTTCTTGTTTCGGAAGCAGCATTTTTAGTTTAAGGCCTTTTGCCTACTAAATGATAGGACACGACAGGACACAGATTTAAACACCCCCCGAGGGACAAGTGCGCATGAGCAGTGATGAAGCTACTGCTCCTCTCCCCTCAGTTCCCAGTTCCCACTCCCCACCACAACCGACATTAACGAATGAATAGGGATGCTAGAGAAGTTCTAACACTAGCACAGTAGCACTAGCAGATTTCCCCCACCCCAATGAAAATGTCTGCAGATTTACTGTTAATTAATACCCCTAATAGAAGGACGGTACCAACCCAAGCAGCGGCCTTACACCCCAACAGCCCCCGCGTGGGAGGGGGGGGGGGAAGGAAAAGCAAAAGAAAATCTTCAAAAAAAAAAAATCCCATCTTTCCTGGTGAACATCTCAGTTAAGTACTAGTCCAGAAATAAAAGGGGGGCAGGATGGAAAATAAGAAAGGAAAAAATAAAATAAAAACCTGAGTTTCGAAAACCATCTGATCCACATAGCCCTTCAACTTGGTGACTCTGAGGGACTCGGTGAAGAACCTGAACTGCTCTTGCCTGATGGAATAGTCGACATCGAATACAACGCCGGGCCCAAAAGTAGGGACGTTGAACTGGTAGACCTCCTGCTGGCTGAGATCGGATTCGGGGGCCTTGAAGAAATGGGCAGAAACCTCGGGGCCGATGAAGAAAGTGATGTTCTTGCTGAGAAGTTTGAGGGTAAAGACGCTGCCGAGCTTAGGGTATTCCTCCCTGAGCAAGTCCACGGGTCCCCTCAAGAAGCGGAAGAGGCCTCCAAAGAGGGGCCAGCCCTTGACGGCGGGGGGAAGGCGTTTGTTGGATCTGGGGATTATCAATGCGGATACGAGTTTTGCGACCAACAGGGTGGCCAGCAGCAGGAGTCCCACATTCAGGAATTTGCTGCCCTGTTCCATCATCATCCCCTCCATTTTTTATTTTTTTTGGGGAGAACAGTGAGAGAGAGAGAGAGTCTATAATCAAATCCTCAGCAAAGAGAAAGAAAACCCAACCAACGACACAACCCGAAGAAAAGAAAAAAGGGTTAAGGCAAAAACAAAGGAAACAATCTGAGAGAGTGAATGGTGGTTTCAAAATACTCCTCCCTAGAAATTCCTCAAGTTGGAGGAGAAGAACAGCAAACTTACTGATACCAGTGCTAGCAGTAGAAGTGGAGCGAAGGAGTGGCGAGGCAGTGAGGTGATGACTGATGAGTTGCGTGGGATTAAAGAGATTTCTAACCAGTACTACTACTGCTGCTGTCTGCTGTGCTGGACTGTCATCAGATTCAAGATTTTGCGACTCAGTAGTAAATTTGGCTACGACTAATTCTACTACTACTGGTGACTCGACTGCTACCTACTGCTCGACATCCTTTATTTGTAGTAGTAGCCCGGCCCGCCATGCTCAACATGCGTTCTTTATCTATGGGCCGCTGCAGTACCATACCACTAGTACTGGGCTCATAAAATAATATTTAAGCTTTTAAAAAATTGAAGATGTACTGCAAATCAAGCACGCCCAAGTAGAGTAGAAACATCTCAGACAAACTTGGTTCAGATCCAGACTAATGTCAACAAATTCAAATCTGAATCCAGACTACTACTGTTATTGATTTGTCAATACTGTGAGTGGTTTCTTTTTCTTTTTTTTTTATTGCGTATCGAGTCGGATGATCCACTGTCAATTTGTCACGGGCTGCGGTTTGGCTGGCGCAATTTGGAGAAATATATATATGTATATATATTATTAATAACACAAGAACAGGAGGAGCTGCTTAATAAAAAGCGCTCCAATTTTTTTTGATTATTTAGAGAAGAATAGGAAAGAAAACATATGCATGTAATGTTGTGAAGCAGCAGTGTTGGCCCAATTGTCCAACCTGGAAGGCCTGCTACCGCTACACTTTGAAGCCCAAAGAGTTTCAATATGTCTCGCTTTGGGCAGGCCCGAAAGTTGCAATGGGTCGCCGCTCACTCATCCGTGTTTGCTTGTCCTTGACGACAAACGTCGACTAGAATTCAGTCCGTCTGTTGTCTTTCAACAGAAGAAATCAGAATTAAATCATTAATCCTTAATCCCAAATAAAACTCAAAAGTCGACAACTCTTGAGAACTAATAATCTAACTCCAAACGCCCCCAATGATCCGGTCCGTCTGTTGTCTAAACGAGTAATTTTCATGCATTCATTCATTCATTTATCAGTCTGTCGTGTACATGCACTAACACTTTGGCAATAGCAAACTAGGCAGTGGGGTAATGCATTTAATGCCGTCGCTGCTTAATGCTAGTAGTAGTTGTAGTTGATCGTGGCGGTTGGTAGAAAGAAACTTTTATTGCACGTAGTAACTTTCTTTCATTTAATGGTAGATGTTAAATATATGCGGATTCGGTTGCCCATCAAATTTAGCTGCAGCAATCATATTCAGTGGTTGGATCACCATTCATTTATTGTTGCTTTTATTATAGTAACACTACTGACTAATGCATCTACTGAGGATGCGAGTGTGTGGGCGGCCGGGCATTTAATACATTGCTTAACTGTCTTCCTTCCCTAATTCTAATTGGTTCATATCTACATGATCTAATCATAATAATGATAACCTCATTCTTCTTCTCATTGCTTTTCTTTTTTCTTCCCTCCCCTCCCCTCCGAATAATTTTACTAATACTACTAGTAGATGTTTCGAGTGGCGGCGGGGTTCTCATTGCTCTTTCATTTGTTAGCTTAGCTTTGGCTGATTTTTTCCCCATACTTTGGCAACTTCCTTCTCGTCCCTCCCTCCAATTTCTTCTTTACAGTTGGTTATCTGTTTGGAGTTGTTTAACGATCCATCACTCCAAACTGTTGCTGCAAATGCAAAATCATTCTAACTCCTAGTTTTCCTTCCTCTCTGCTCCCTGCCACGAAAAACCATTATACCACCATATATACTGCATCCCTCGCTCTCACGTCAGCAGCATGGCCGGTGCCACAGAGATCGCGTCCCCTGAAGTTTTGCCTGATGACATTTCCTCCTCCGACTCTCTTCGCAGGAAAAAACTGGGCATCTATTTCATTGAATCAGATGACAGGCGGACTGCTTTTAGTGGAGGCTACGTCGGAGGAGGTTCTACGCCAGTTAACATCCATGGAAAGCCCATTTCTAATTTATCCAGCACTGGCGGATGGATTGCTGCATTCTTCATCTTCGGTAATCAATGCCCCTACTCCTTTTAAATATCCCATACCCATACTGCAGCCTGCAGCTTAATTATTAGCTGTTACGGGTTTTTTTTGGCAGGCAACGAGATGGCTGAGAGGATGGCCTATTTTGGGCTCTCTGTCAACATGGTGGCATTTATGTTCTACGTCATGCATCGACCCTTCTCAAGTTCTGCCAATGCGGTCAATATTTTCCTGGGAATATCACAGGCCTCCTCTGTGTTTGGCGGTTTCCTTGCCGATGCCTACCTTGGTAGATACTGGACCATAGCCATTTTCGCTACCATCTATCTTGCGGTAATCAATCGTCAAAACCATCCATTACCCTTTTTCCTTGTTTTCACATGCCGGAATCGAGCAAATCTTGGTGGTGGACTAAAATTCTTGCTCTTACTTTGGTGCAATTACTTAGTTTTCTTTTTTCCTTTCAATTTCTCCAGGGTTTAACGGGAATAACCCTGTGTGCTTCCATGAACTTCTTTCTGCCGAACCAAGAGCAGTGTGACCAGATTGCCTTACTTCTGGGCAATTGTGAACCTGCAAAGCCCTGGCAGATGCTTTACCTCTACATAGTCCTCTATGTGACCGGATTTGGCGCGGCCGGTATAAGGCCCTGCGTCTCTTCTTTTGGTGCTGATCAGTTTGATGAAAGAAGTAGAGACTACCAATCACACCTTGACCGCTTCTTCAACTTCTTCTACCTGTCTGTCACGGTTGGAGCCATCGTGGCCTTCACGGCAGTGGTCTACGTCCAAATGAAGCATGGATGGGGCTCTGCCTTTGGTTCGTTGGCCATTGCCATGGGTTTGTCCAACATGGTCTTCTTTCTTGGCACTCCCTTGTACAGGCACCGATTGCCGGGAGGCAGCCCTCTGACTCGTGTTGCGCAGGTTCTCGTGGCTGCTTTCCGCAAGAGGAATGCTTCTTTTGATAGTGGCGACTTTGTAGGCTTGTATGAACTTCCTGGCAAAAGATCTGCTATCAGAGGAAGCAGCAAAATAGCTCATACTGATGATTTCAGGTAACTCCTAATTCTTTCTTTCCGTTACCCTGAAAAGACTAGATCATTTGCAATATAATATGGTGGCAATTGCCGAGATAAATCTTCAAACTTTCTGAACAATTGACATCCTCTCTCTCACTCGAAGCACCACAAGATCCGCCCACCTACATTCCTGAATCATTTTAACCAGGCACTAGCATATACGTGTAACACTACTTGTTAACCAGGCACTTTTGGCCTGCGCAGATGTCTGGACAAAGCTGCACTGCAACTGAAAGAAGATGGTGCTGACCCAAGTCCTTGGCGGCTCTGCACCGTGACGCAAGTAGAAGAAGTTAAAATTCTTCTAAAGCTCGTACCTGTTCCGCTATGCACTGTGATGCTCAATTTGATCTTAACAGAATACCTGACCCTCTCAGTGCAGCAGGTATATACGTTAAATACTCACATCGGTGGTTTGAAGCTCCCGGTTACATGCATGCCAGTCTTTCCTGGCCTCAGCATTTTTTTGCTACTCTCCTTTTACTATTCCGTGTTTGTCCCGCTGTCAAGACGCGTCACTGGTCACCCCCATGGCGCTTCTCAGCTTCAGAGGGTAGGCATTGGTTTGGCAGTTTCGATCTTGTCTGTGGCATGGGCTGGTGGTTTTGAGAGGTACAGGAGACACTATGCCGTTGAACACGGGTACGAGGCCAGCTTTCTCACTCCCATGCCCGACCTAAGTGCATACTGGTTGTTGATTCAGTATTGTCTGATTGGGATTGCTGAAGTGTTCTGCATAGTTGGGCTGCTAGAATTTCTCTACGAAGAGGCTCCTGATGCCATGAGGAGCATAGGTTCAGCTTATGCGGCTGTTGCTGGAGGGCTAGGTTGCTTTGCAGCCACCATATTGAACAGCATTGTGAAATCTGTGACGGGCAACGGAGAAACTAGACGACCATCGTGGCTGTCCCAGAACGTAAACACGGGGCGGTTTGATTACTTCTATTGGCTTCTTACAGTTTTGAGTGTGATAAACTTTGCCGCCTTCTTGTATGCAGCACATTGTTACCAGTACAGAAAAAAGGAGCGGGGAGAAATGAGGGAACCATCAAGCATACAATCTAGTCATGGTTAACAGAATTATAGGAACTTTCTTATTATTACAGAAGAACAAAGGAACCTCTTTCTTCTTTACCATTTAAGTACAATTTCTTACCTTCCAGTAAGCAGAATTTGATAATGGAGTCTAGTCCTACAATTCATGTGTTCCCCCCTCCCCCGTCAAAAAAACCCACCGGTAAAACAAAAAATAAAAATAAAAAAAACTGTCCCGATCTGAAACAAGTTTCAATGCAGCTCTTTGTAATTTTTCATTAATATTATCTTGAATTCACATATTGAAATGGAATTGCTTTTGCAAATTTAGCCGAAATCAATTAAGTCAATACAAAACCATAATACCATTCACTCGCAACTGGTCACAACATACCTTGCCATGGAAAGGACAGCTCTCACTTCTTTCCGTCCATTCATTTATACAACCCAGGTCAAAGTGATCAGAGCATATCGATGTGATTTAGCATTCTCTTCAGTATATTCTACTCCAGCTTAGATCAATAACTGCTAAACGAAGGACAGAAAGTGTTTCTTCTGCGAAATGCATTAATAATGGACACAATGATTTTGAACAGGAAGATTAAAGTACCTTCTAAACATGTAGAACAGAGATCGTCTTCTTCAGTGGTTCTGTATAGACTACCCTGTGGAATACTTTGACTGGCTTTAATTTTCCTGATGTTGGTTCTACTGCAGAGTCCACTCTGTCCCATTCTTTCCCAGAGCCCAGCAGTTCCATCATACCAAATGCCTTGTTAGTCCCCTCAAGAGGTAACTTGAGAATGAAAAATACTAGCCTTCCCAGAACTTCTTAATGTCGAAGATGAGTATTAGCCAACAATATCAAATACAGGCATCGACATATACACAAACTCTCCCTCAATTAAAAGCTCAAAAAAGCAGGTAACTGTCAGAGGAAATGGCACATGGTTGCATTGTGAATAGCTATATAGAACGCTTGCTTTTCTTAGTGACAACTTCTTCACAAGTAAAAGCAGCAGAGTGTTTAAGATCAGAAAAATATAGCTTGTTTCTAGAGAGGGGAATGCCAAAGAAGATAACAGGAATTTCCTTTTCTTTATTTCCTAGACGTTTTTCTTCAGCTACTAGCATAATATGGGGGCGAGGGTCATTTACATAGAAGTGGTAGAGAGCTTACTCCACTAGAAATCTGGCGGAGGAGCATGCAGTGGATCTCGGAATTTCTTGCAAACGCTCCTTTCTCCTCAGCAAAGTGAAAGCTCCTGCCTCTTGGATCTTGGCAACAATCTCAGATTGGTTGTTGCATTTCATGGAATTGTCAAAAATACAAAGTTGAAGTTGATACATATAGCTAGCTACTCTGCCTTAGGACATGTATAATAGTTCCTTATTGGCACTCTAGATTGCTTCACAAACACTGCCAAAGAATTACTAATACTGACCGAAATAGATGGAAAACAACTAACTTTAACTCACCATATGACAATAATCAAATGTACATGTCATGTGGATGGACAAAAGCATCTTGCAGCTATATACAGACCAATGATCCTGCCCTCCGAACAGCAATAGTTTCCCAACAACCAAGTGAAAATAATTGCATCAACAGAGTAACCAAATCATAACCTTTTATATAATAGGGCCTCTAAAAAGTGAAGAGCAATATAAACAAAAGATAACTACATTGGAACAAGAATGTTTAGGTTCCAGAGTAAGTTGACTACTATAGCACAGATCAAGGTTATTCAAATAAAAAAAAATGTACTTTGTTGCCACAGGACCAGGCATGGGTTACTACATGAGATATATGGTAGGACGCTTCAAACTCTGGCAGAATAAGTCATCCAAGGATTTTCCAGTTTTTGTGCACAGAAAGCGCTCTCTCTGGTATCAGTTTCTTCATCGACCTCCTCAAAGCAATACACTGGTGCCTGCCATTTCGCATCCTCAAGTACTGCTCCTACTTCAAATGTCATGACATGAATTGATCTTCCTGCAAAGATGAACTAGCGGTTTACCAGAACTTGTTGCAAGAAAGAAAGAAAGAACCAAAACAGAGCTGTAGATCAACAGAAGCTAAAAGACATATTTCTTGAAATCTTACACGAGTCACTGCAATTGTAGAAATCAACTGTTCTGGGAAGAGATATTTTACGATACAAAGACACAAAAAATTGAAATAGCTTCAAGTACAGTGCTATTGTAGAGGAGGTTCACAGTACACAAACAGCTTTAGCCACAATGCTACTCCAAATCTAAGAAAGGTTATTAATGCGAGGAGCAAAATAGGAGGAGGAGTCCTGCACTTGAAACTGAAAGAACTAAGCAAAAGTACGGCGTTAGAAATGAAGCATGCAGGTAGACTTAATCAATGGCAGACACAATACAAAAGAAAGAACATAAAACCAATCACTTGGTCTGATGGTTGTCTAACCTCATAGCCCCTTACACCACTTCAGTTAATAGTAGCTCAAAAAATGAGGGGGGAAGAGGGAGAGGACCTAATATATTACATAGGGGATGGTAAATATGTTTCTGTATACATATCAAACAGAGGAGCAATTGAGTAGTACTCTGTCTTTCAAAGCAAAGCTGTGTAAGAATAGCATGTGTTGTAAATCTGCTAACTGGTAGCATGATGCTGTCCAATTTGCTGGTGGTTCTATTTGGCAGGGTTCCTTGAACAGAGTTGAAATATTGCATGTGTTATTTTATCGCTGTAACTGGTTTTCACAGGAAAAACCAAAATTTTACTAGCTAACTTTTGCCTAAGTAAGAAAGTAACATAAGAATATGCCTAGGAGATAAGCTACTAGTGCTCATTTTACCAGGTAATGAACGTCCCAGGTTTGGATCAAAGAAATTGCATACAAGTCCATGCTAACTAATTTGTCATGATGAAAGAAATAGAATAGTTTTAGCTAGCAATAGCATAGAGGGGTATTATGAGGTAGAAAATGAAGAAGCCTTTTTTTTTTTACCCATTATTTCCTGAACATGCAAACATGCATGATGCAGCAGAATTCTGGAAGGGAATGCAAATTTTGCAAATAAATAGAGAACGCAGTCAGGAGATGATAAACTGAGAATAGATCAGGAATATCAATCTTGGGAAAAGGTTGAAATGAGTGGTGAGAAGGGGTAAGGTTTATGATCATGGAAGAGCGTTGCGGATTTTATGAATGGTAATAATTGTAGCCAGGTAGGTAGCAGAGACTCGCCAGTATAGAAGAGCCAGTGAACGGGCCTTTTAGTGACAACGTCCTCGTAGTACCAGATGAAGTCCAGCTTCTCCCAAACATTGCAGAGGAAGCCGTCGACGTGGCGTTGGCCCAGATAGGAGGCGCCGTCGAGCCAGTTGGGACGGAGAATCCCAACGTCGAGCTGAGCAGAGCGGCATGAGGGTGGGGTGGAGGATGGGTGGTGGTGGTCAGGGAGGGTGTAGAAGAAGGAGGTGCCATTATTCCACTCGAGGTCATAGAGGATGGAGTCACTGTCCTGGAGCTGGTCGCGGATGATGTTGAAGTTGCGGCCGTTGGGCCAGTCGTACCAGAGGTCGATGAGGCTGAGGGATCCAGTGAAGTTGACAAAGAGGATGGAGTGGAATTGGTGGGGCCAGGGCCTGGGAGTTGGGGGATCAGCCTCCGCCTCGTCCTCACCTTCTGCTGCTGCTGATGATGCCAGAGGCACTGGCACGGCCGCGGCCGCGGCCACATGAGGGAAGCCGCCGCCGCTGCTGCTGAGACTCATGATCAGCCTCCAAGTCCATAGCCACAACATCAACATCGTCATCATCATCGTATGACGACCACTCATTAGTCGTCTGCTATGAATGGTGTTACTCATCAATAGCTAACCTCTCGGTGCTCCTTTCTCAGCTCAGAGACCCTCCAATCCAACGCCAAATATATATATATATATATATATATATATATATATATATATATATATATAGCACTCGTATGCAATAATGAGCCCCGAGTGTGGTTGTTTACCAGAGCCCAGAGCCAGAACCAGAGCCAGCGGAATGGAAATTACCATAAATACTAGGAAGGAAGCCCCTGAAGTATATTTGTAGGTGGGGTTTTCTTTTTGGACCATCAGATTGACGGATAAGAAATAGTAGCAAGAAGGATGGGTAAATACTGTCACTCTTCCACTCATCCCCCTACTACGGTACAGCCACTGCTCAGTACTTTCTGCTACACCACGTGTCTCTCCGATGATGAGCAGCCAGTGACCCAAGAACCACACCCCTTCCCCCACAGCTCCCCCAAAAAAACAAAGTGATTAATTTCTCGTGGTTTTTCGGTGGTAGAAATATGCACTAGTAGTGTTCTTAATCACTGAGCTTTTAGCTCAGCGGTCAAATCCCTTTTTGGATGGTAAGTCTGGTTCAAACTTTAATTACAAGAAAAAAATTCAAAAGATGGTATCAAAACATTCTTTTAGTCTAATGGATTTGTATACTTACAAGTTTCTTACACAGTTACACAGTCTTAATGTTAATGTCAGAACATCTCTTTAGTCTAGTCAAATATATACACCTATTAATTTCTTACATAATTTCTTTAGACTCTCCTTTTTAAATAGGATAAATTAAATTATACAAATGTTATCGTTACCAATAAAATTAAAAAACAAAAAAAAAGGACTATTTAGTGTTCTCATCCATCTCCAACCTGACGGTGAACCCTTTTTTTAAAAAAAAAAAAAAAGATTAGGCCATTGGGGTAATAAAATGATGATGGACAGCATGGGCGTGACAATGCTCACACGGGTGTGATTAATGCTTGTATAGAAGTAGAACTAGGCTGGGCCTTCTTCATCCATTCCCTTTAGTTTTAGGTACCAAACTCAGCCTGGCCTCACAAAACACTTCTTCATCCAGCCCACTTTCTTCACCTCACCGTCCTAATGGCCCCATAGACCCCATTGGTATCTTTTCCAGGGAAACAGAAAGGACAGAAGCTATTTGCTATTTTGCAGCCAGGTGTGCAATGGTGGCCACTTTCTTATGGATCCGCACCATGTGTTAAAAAGTTATCAACAGAAATTCATTCAACCGTCCCTCTTCGCACTTCACCTTTTATTTTGACAAAACAAGAAATTATCCGAAAATGATTAATTGCCGGATACTGCCAAGTCCCAACAAAGTTAGCGGAGCGGAGCCATTCGTTTCTCAGGTCCCCAAAACTGCTTTTTCACCAACTCTCATTGCCTATCCTAACCGGGCTTAGGCAAATGGGAACCAAAATGATGACCAGGGCGCGCAACTAGCAGGGAAATCTTTCATACCTGATTTCAAAATTGCCTGGAGCAGAGTGGGGGAAGGAAAAAAAAAAAAGAGACAAAAACACTATTCTACAGCGTATTTCAATTTCCTATCTAAATATACTTCAAGCCTGTGATGTGTTGTTGTCTTGAAATTAGGTACTGGGCCAAGGAATATATAATCCCCAGAAGCCCTAGTATCTTAACCTTGAGGACATCAGTTATAATGATGGAAGGAATATTAAGGGGTATGGTGAGCAGCGGAGTTGAGTCGTTCCGTCTCGTGTAGCTCCACACAAAGCGATTAAAAAGGATGTGACTCGGGAACGTCAGAATGAGAAGCGCCAAATTCTTGACACCAAAGAACCAATCGTGCCCTCCTATTTCCAAGCTCCACCCTGGATTTCCATGCCATACATCTTCCCATATGCCATACAACGCAGTCAACACCAAGTAGCCCGAGATGGCTACAGTAACGGGGAAGTACCTTTGCTTGTCCCCAAATCCAGCAACAAAATCAGAGTCCTGGTTGAGAAGTAGCAAGATGGGGGCCAAGAAAAATATTGCTCGGTTTGAGCCACCAGTAAGATTGACATTCAATATCAGGCATATCGCAAAGCACATGATGGTGGCCACGTTACCAACTGCGGGCATCCAAGCCCCCTCAGCAGCCATTCTCTTTATCGTGAAGGTTGGCACAGCGGAGGCCCTGCGCATCTGCATGAATCTTAACCTCGGAGGGACGCTGGCTGTGCCATTTTGACCAGACTGGCTGTGTCTAAGTCCGCCCCTTTCAGTGACCTTTTCTCGTAGAAGCGAAGCCAACTCAAACTTTATCTCAAGTGCAATAAGCATGAAGATTGCTGCATATAGACCAAGAAGTGATGTCCTTGCACCCTCAACAGCCAGCAGCGTAGCTAGTTTGTTATCTTCCACCTCCAAATCTCCAACTCCACCGTCTCCGAGCAGGCTTTTGTTGTTTCTCACCTGGCCCTCCAATAGATAAGTGACTGGGAAGAGAGCAACCAGTAGTGCGAATACCCATGGCAGAAGCTTTGTACTCGAGGCAGATGGGAAATGTGTGAAGACCACAAACACAGAGGTGCATACCATGGTGATAACAATCAGGAGATGCAGCATTGCAGTCTGCAAAAAGTACTCCGCAGATATATATACTCCAAGTGCAATTCCAACGGCAATGGAGTAAAATGTCCTCAATTCAACAATGTACTTAATAGGAAGGATGGAGGCGATAGCTGCTAGAGTAAGCAAGATTGCTGCAATTAGCAGCCATGCAGGCCATGAGGGCTTTGATGCTATAAAACCATATATGGAAATGTCATCTGAAGATTGCCGAGCAGCTTTGATTATGTCTGAGCTATACGTCCATGACATGGGGATTGGCGGCTGCATCAAAATGAATAATACACCTGTTGCCACCACCAACAACAAGCATCTCTTTGCAGACTGCATATAAGAAAGTGAAGTTAACAAACCAATCAAAACTATTAAATTTAGGGGGAAAAAAACTAATGAAAGAAATTTAGAGCACTAAAACCACATTGCTTTAAAAAAATATTGACAAGGGTTGTGAATTTACTGAGTACAACAACTGAAAGATTAGCTTCATATAGAGCAGTAGATTATGTATATATGCTCTTGTCAATTCAATGGTCTCCAACAATATTAACTTGAATATAACACCAAGAAATATGGTGACAAAATTATGAAAACCAAGAATTAGTACCATTGCATGTGAGAAGTGAAGAGCAACAATTGGCACGCAAGCTAACCCCACCAAAAGAATGCAGGTGCCCAATAGTAAACCATCAGATGGAGGTCTACCATTCCACCATTGAAGAGCTTCAAAAATCGTTTCTCGACAAAACCAAACAGCTAATGCAACCACACCACCATGCGCATAGGCCTGCCATGGTTTCATCTTTGAGGCAGTTCTAGACTTATCTCTGCAAAGTAAGATCAGCGAGAAGTTTGCCATGTTATTTTCGAAAAGAATCTAGTATGATCTCTTCATTAAAAATGAAATAATATAGCAAGAGAGAGAGAGAGAGAGAGTATAAAAGTTCAGCAATTACTTGTATAGAAGTAGAGGAGGAGAAACAGCCAGCAGAAGAACAGCTGACACCCACAATACAGCCTTGGATGCCATGACAAGCATAGCAAGCTTAGAACAATACAAGCAAGTTAGTATCCAAACTGCCTTCGGCCCAATCCTATTATCCACAGAAAGTCTCCTCACAAGTGCTAAACCAAAGAAAGTAGTCATCATAACCATGTAACTTGGATACATTACATCATCCTCCATTCCATAGTAATATACATTGGAGTAATTGAAAAACCGGTTTTCAACATAGCATAGGAGCAAAGCATGGCTAACCAAACAAGCCTCCATCAAGACATGGAGTTTCGGTGGAAGAAGAGCTAAACCAGGAACAGCCATTGCTAGGATAACACTACCAACTATCAGCTTACAGAAGGATTTTAAAGACATGCCTGCCATCCAAATATTGAGATCCCAGTAATTATGCATCACAAACCACGTAACCATCAGGCTACCCAGCACAACAAAGGCAAAGTAGGATGATAGACTCTTTTTCGTGAAAAAACGGGCCAAATAAAATCCAGCTACTGATGGAAGCGGAATGAACTGCAGAAAAATGAAAGAAGGAACTTCAGAAAAATACAGATAACTAAGCAAAGAAAGGCAAATTTGGAGGTGACACCAGAAAGTAAATCTTACTTCCACAGCCTCCACTAGAACAACAAGACTAATAAACATAAATGGTGGTTGACAGATTCTATTAAGTTTGACATTACAGAGACTTACAACTGAGATACTTTACTGTCGAGATTACAGGCTTGTTTTACCAAAAATTTGGTATATGGAAGAGATTGTATGCAAGTTGGAGGTTTGGAGGTTTCCCACAAAAAACAAACTATAAGAGGAGTTTCTTTGATGAGAAAATCACATGTTTCATATTTCTTAGTTAGGAATGACAACTGAATTTAGTTATGCTATTTAATTTGGAAAAGGAGTCAACCATAGCAGCAACAGATAAAACCAAACAAATGCGCACTGAAAGGTCTTCAATCAAGTTCAATTACCAAATCCCTTATGGATATATACATATATGTCTATCTGCATACACGTATATATTTATATATCATATATGTACATACATATACATAAACATATACATGTGTATGTGTAATTATCTCTGTATAAATTGACTACAGAGAACGTGGAGAGAAATGTATTTTCAACAGCACATCAGAGTAGTGGAAAACATGACCAGAATATTTCCAACCATTAAGAAGAGGAAGAACTGCTTCTTGACAATATTTCTCAACAAATGCACAAAGAAAGCATCATTGCACATTCAATGAAATGTAATTCAATCATTTTATGGCTCATTCTAACAACTTAGCCCCTGCTTTCTTCATTACAGCCCAAGTGAAGAAAAAAATGAACAGAGGTAGCATTGGGATCCTGGTTCTTTCCACTTCAGACAATGCACTCAAATATGTAAATAGTCAAATGTAACCTCTTGTTTTTAAAACTCTCACATATTTCTCTTACATACTTGTTTGCTTTTTGTCTGAATATACAATGAAGACTTTAGCAGCATGATCTCCTTTTTATTATTTTAAGCAACTAGATGTCAAGGGTAACCACAGCAATCTTCAGTTAGCAAAATGGCTAATGACATTAGTCCCTTCTGGTAAAAGCTCAAAGGTACTACATGACCTATAAGTTTCATCAGAACCAACAACAATGGCTGATATAAAAAAAACTTTGATGGATAATAAAAGAGATTGAACAAAGAATAACCCTATCATGAAGCTATTACTTTGAGCTAGGCGAGTTTCTGTAGAGACAATCATATGGTCATTCACAGTCTCATGGCGAGCCCACAAGCATAAAACAGTCCTTTCCGTAATTATTAGATTTCCGTAGAGCAGGAAGTTGTTCTTTTTTCAACTATCATAGTTTCCAAATGTTAAAAAACCAAGGAACAAAATCTAGCTTAAAAGTCCTTTCCGTAATTATTAGATTTCCATATGAAAGGCAATGTTTTAAGTTTTTCATTTTCCATTTCGTATATGTGTTACTCAGCGCCAGGTAAGCCATACTTTAGTCTTCTTCCCATTTCTCTATGAGATCACTTACACCTTAACAGTAGCACCCACTTCTTTATGTTAATTTACTACCAAAATCCATGATGTATCCCCCATACGCGAATTTAACCAAAGTTCAATAAAGATGCCCTGCTCCTACAAGAAAATCTTTCTTCCTCAAAATTAATTTAATAGTTCTATTTGAACCTAGGTTGGTGATGATGAGAAACCTGAATTCAAGTTCGCTCGAGTTTGAAAAATGCAGGCTTTTCAAACTATGTTGGTCAACCAATTATCAACAAGACAAAAACAAAATTATTAATTTCGTAATGTTCATAATACATTATAGCAACATAAGTTCTATCATGTGAGAAGGGAATTGGATTTCTTTCCAAGGCAAAGAAGTAGATACAAACCAATACAGGAAATCCGACAACTATAGCCCCAGCAGCACTAACAAGGACAGACAAAGAAGTGAACACCGTTGAGCCAAAAGCATCCGAAACCATGCCGAGTGCATAAGCACCGGCAGCGGCTGCTCCTCCAAGCATTGAGATGGTGACAAGCAGATAATTGAAAGGAGGTGGCACCTGAATGTATCGACCAAACGAATGGAAAACAACCCTGACCTCCAGACAAAGTACAACCACAAGCAAAGCAATCGCACCATTGACCAAGCGGATACTGTGGAGCTGGCGGTCGTTCTTAGTGAGCCACCGAAGAGCCCCCCTGGTGGAAGCATACAGTTGAAAAAGAAAGGGAACGAAGAAAAGGAGAAACAAATCACAGATAGAAGCAGCAGAGGAAAATAGGATGGAGTAATGGGAAGCAATGTGGAATAGCAAAGGGAAGAAGAGGAGATTCAGGGTGTGCAGGCAACTGTCGAGCTGGCCGAGGATGAGACTTTCATCGGGAACCTCCCCACCATGGTAGCTGACCTCCTGCTTCATCTTGAACGACGACACGCGGGGGATGGAGAAAATCCAGTAGAAAACGCAATTGAAAGCCATTAGGTAATAGGCGGCGTTGACCATTCCGACGGCCGAGACTGTGGCCCAAGCGAAGATGGAGGAAGCCAAGATGGGAACGCACGCGAACAGGAGGCGCTCCAAGGCCAGGACGATGGTGGGATACTCGATTTGGATCCACTTGAACTGGAGGGAGACCCATACCCCTATCAAGAAATTGGTAAGGGCGCAGGCGAAGGAGGCGAGGAGACCGAGGGAGACGGAATTGAAGGTGGAAAGCAGGAGGGAGGAGCTGAAGAAGAAGGCGATCTGAGCGGCGATGAGGGAGAACCAGACGGCGAAGAAGGAGCCAGGCTTGAAGTTGAGGGAGTCGAGGATGTAGGCAATCATAAGACCTAAGGTGAGGGTGGCGAGGACAGGAGTTCCGCCGAGGTCGAGGAGGAAGGCAGCGCAGGGGACTAATGCAAGGGCAATTCTGGCGTTATGGGCGAAGGTCGAAGGGGAGAATCGGGAGCCCTTAAGGAGAGATCTAGAGGTGGAGCTGCGGGAGCTGCTACTGCCGGCGGCGGCGTATACTGAAGAAGCTGAATTGGGGCTAGGGTAAGCATCGCCGCCGACGCCGTTGAAAGAAGGGGCGCTGACGGAGGTCGAGATATAGGGTCGGAAGGAACGGGGTTGGAGCTCCGGCGGAAACATAATGGATCTCCCAAATGCGTAGTAGTTGCAGTCGTATGAGTGGTCTAGTCCTCCGGGCGGGAGGCCTCCGCTGATGGGGTGCGGGACTGGATTATTGCTGAAGGGGGTTGGCTCTTTCGGACTGTTTTGACTCCTCACACTATCATCTCATCTCTCTCCCTGTCGAAACGCAGTGACGTGTTCCTTGCTCTAAGGGCCGTCGGATCCTACTTAAACGGGTCCGAGCCCACGGTTTGATTTTGGATGCATGTAAGTTGTAACTAACTGCCTCTGCAGAAGGAAAAATACACTAGTAGTATTAATTAATTAATTTGATTATCTGGAGACAAAAGATGCACTCTACCTGCTTTTATGCATGCTTCTCTTACTTTTGACACCCAATTTGGATTCTTTCCATTTATTATTCTCAATTTACTATCAGTTCATATACCTATATCTAGTTATCAAATGTTACATATTCGTCTCCTCCGCATGTAGACCGACTGGTTCATAACCTGATAGTTGCCAGTAGATTTTGTAATATATCCCTGTGTGATACCTGTGTATCCTTAGGACAAGTATGTCTTATAATCAATCTCTGTGTGTTATCTCATTGTGCATTTTTGTATATGTTCTTGAGGCAAGCAGGTATTGTGATCAATTCCTGTGTGTTATATCACTGTATATTCTTGGGGCAAGACTTTTAAAAGATTAGTCTGGCCAAAAAGTTAGGATATCCTAAGTAAAAAAAAAAATTTGTTGCGGATTCAATCCTACTATACTGTTACTTTTATGCTTTTTCATTGAATTCTTATTACTTAGAAATCAACTTATCTGGAAATGATTCTGCCGTTTGATCATTCGGTGATACTTGAAAGATGTAGAGTTACAAGGTCTATTATTGCACAACTAAAAGGCCAAATGTTGATCTTTTAATTCTCGATTTTTTTTTTTGCAACTTGCACTGAGTAGGAAGAAAAATACAATTGTTGCCTAAAACTTATTGAAATCGGCTAATTCCTTAAAATATTGTTGGAAATAAAAATTTTTAAAAAAAAATCGCACAATTGTGGCTCTAAAACTACTCGACAGGATAGCACCAAAAAATTTTAATAAAACTTGTACTCTGCAGACTGCAATACTTGTCCTCGTATTAGTGTTTGATAGAAGCACTAAAAATATGACCAGGGCACAAATTAATAATAGTAAACTAAAGCAGCAAAAAAGTAGGATATCAAATTTTTTACACCAAAAAAACTAAAGCACCTCTACTGATGAAAATGTTTATTTACACTCTCAGTTTTTTTGTTTTACACCAAAAAACTAAAGCACCTCTACTATGAAAATGTTTATTTACGCTCTCATTTTTTTGTTAATCACATTTCTATTATCATTTTAATCATATAATTTTCATTTATCAGATTACATGATAAAATAAATAGTGAAAATGTAATCACACTTCTATTATCATTTTAATCATATAATTTTCATTTGTCAGACTACATGGTAAAACGAATAGTGAGAATGTAAAAAAAAAAAAAAATAGAGTGTAAATAAACATTTTCCAAAAATTAAATTGAACAATTCAAAAGGCGATGGTATGGATAGTTTCTAGGGCTAATTGCTTAGAATATATGCCAAAAAAAAAACATCGCACAAATGTATTTCTGACACACTCTATTTCTAATTCTATACCGGCCGTGCTGACTCAGCACGGCCGCAGAATGAATTTTGCAGAAACTCTGCAAACATGTCAGTGGGTCAGCGGCCCACAAATTTTTTTTTTAAATGAGCCTGTCCCCAGCCGTGCTGACTAGGCACGGCTGGGGCAGGCAGTAAAAAAAAAAAAAAAAAGCCTAGGGGCCCGTGTTAGTTGCAAACTTGCAATACATTGCGTTGTTGTGCATTAGCTGCTGTAACTATTAGTGCGCCTAGTGGGGTTACAGGAGGAGAGCAAGAAAGACTTTGTAATTCATTCATACACATTTATATGTCTTCCCTTAATTAGCTTGCAATTTTTTCAGGGATCTGTTTGGATTCAGCATTTTTCGAAAAATAATTTTTTCATTTACAATTCTACAGCAATATACAAAAAAAACTTCAAAAATACAATATCCAAATAATATATCAAAAATAACTCCAAATATACAAAAAATATATTAATGTATATATTTATATATAAATATTATATATAAAAATATTTGGAGTATTTATATATAAATATATACATTAATATATTTTTTGTATATTTGGAGTTATTTTTTATATATTATTTGGATATTGTATTTTTGAAGTTTTTTTTGTATATTGCTGTAGAATTGTATGTAACCCCACCAGGCGCACTAGTAGTTACAGCAGCTAATGCACAACAACGCAATGTATTGCAAGTTTGCAACTAACACGGGCCCCTAGGCTTTTTTTTTTTTTTTACTGCCTGCCACAGCCGTGCCCAGTCAGCACGGCTGGGGACAGGCTCATTTAAAAAAAAAATTTGTGGGCCGCTGACCCACTGACATGTTTGCAGAGTTTCTGCAAAATTCATTCTGCGGCCGTGCTGACTCAGCACGGCCGGTATAGAATTAGAAATAGAGTGTGTCAGAAATACATTTGTGCGATGTTTTTTTTTTTTGGCATATATTCTAAGGAATTAGCCAGTTTCTAGGGCATGAGATGATTAAATCAAGATCGATAAGATCAAGATAATTTACAATCTCTTGCTTAATTTGTTGAATTTATGTAAGTGAATTGTGTTCTTAACTTCTCAATTTTCTTCTGTTTTTGTATATTCAATTTTTTTTTATTTTTCTTACCAAGTGAAGTGATTAATATGAATGTTTCTCTCTTAAGAATCAAGCAAATAGGCTAACTACAATATGTTAGAAGTCCAGTTTGGTAATTAAATTTTTGTAATTTAAGGAGTCCAGTTTTTGATGAATTAAAAATACTTGTGTCAAAAATGCATCTTTATAAGTAGCTACAACCCCGAACAGCCTGAATATGGTGGCAGTCAGATTTGTTAATTTTTTTTTTCCTTTTTCCTTAAATACAAAATGCCCCCCATTATCAACAGTGAATAACAAATCACCTCTGTACTCGCAAAATACAAAATACATACATTACTCCCAGAAAGCTGTACAACTACTGGGGTTTTTATTTTTTAATTTTTTTTTTTGAGGGTGCACAACTACTGGCTTGATTAGAACAGACTTTCTCGCGAAAGCAAAATTGCCCTCGTAAATTCTGGCACCCAAAGGTTTCATTTTTATACGGCTGCTGCTTTCCTATGTAATCAAAATTACTCCGCTCATGTTGGATATTAAGTTACAAAAAGATAAAAAATTGCAGAACAGTAGTAAAACACGCTCAAAAAATGAAAATCCGCAAATATCCAATTATCAGTAATCTACTAACAAAACTAGCTCAATAGCGAGCCATATGATGGTGGAAGAGAAGCACAAATTGCACCCAGCTAGTTATGAAAAGAAGAAAATTTCATTTAATAAGTGAACATAAATAAGTTTAAAGAAAAAAATGGACAACCAACGAAGAGGAATATGAGAATGTTTAACCAGCAAACTTTGTAAGTAAAGGAATATGGGGCTACATGGTTAACAGAATAACACAAAGAAGTGCTAAGCCTTATTTATTTATGTATTTATTTAGGGTAAGACTAGAGTAGGGATGCAAACAAGTCGAGTCGAGTCGAGTCGAATTAAGTTTCGATCTAGTTGAATTAAGTCTCAATATAATTTTACGAATTCAAACCCGACGAACTCAAAATGTCAAGTTCGAGCTCGAACTCGAATTCGAAATTAAAAAAATAAAAAATAATTATTTTATTTTTAAAAAATGAATAAAATAATATTTTTTTAATAAATAATAAAATATTATATAAAATAAAAAATATATATGTAATTTTACTATTAAAATAAAAAATAAATAATAAATAATCGAGTTCAAGTCGTTTCGCGAGCTAATGAACTTAGTAGTTTTGAACTCGAGTTCGACTTGGTCAGTTCAAACTCGGCTCGAGCTTGATGTTGACCGAAGTCGAGTGTCAGGCCCTTCCAATCCAGGATGAATTGAAGAATTACGGTCAGAAGATTTGGGGGGAAATTTGAATGAGGGAAGAACAGAAAGGAGAGGGAAGAATGAGAGAGAGAGAGAGATAGAGGGAGAAAGAGAGATAAAGAGTTGGAATGAAAATTATAAATCTATTTCTTGTTATTGAGTCCATTGCATTTCCGGACATTTATACAACTACACAGAAGATTCTGATTCTAAATTGGCACGGAATGCCTGAGGATAACAAATTCTGTTATAACTAACTTGTACAGCTTTTGGCTCCAAGAAGACTAATTACCCTAAGCCCCTAAAACTTTGGTCCAAATTGCAATTACGTCCTTGCTCCTGACATTACCCCTTCCTTGAAATCAGTCTTGTCCTCAAGGCTGGAACTCAGGAAACTGACGACTGATAAAAGTTTGATCTTCCCAAGAGGCCTCTTCTTCCCCCAGCTGGTGCCACTTGATAAGGTACTGGATCACTGGAGTAGCATTGCGCATAATGACCCTCCTTTCCAAAACTTCAGCAGGTTGTAGGAGACACTGATCTTGGCCATTGAGTTCAGGTAGTGTGGAAGTAGTAGCATGATGAGGTCCCAGTTTAGGCTTAAGGAGAGAGACGTGAAAAACTGGATGCACTCTAGATCCTGGTGGCAACCTAAGCTTGTATGCCACAGCACTGATCTTTTCCTCAATCTGAAAAGGGCCAAAGAATTTGGCAGAGAGCTTAAGATTTCTCCTGAGTGCTATAGTCTGCTGCCTGTAAGGTTGTAACTTCAGGAAGACCCAATCTCCCACCTGGAATTGCCTTTCCGTCCTGTGTCTATCAGCAAACAACTTCATTCTACTCTGAGCCTGATACAAGTGTTCTTTTATCCTCTGCAGCATTTGAGTTCTTGTCTGCAACGTGTGATGAGCTGCTGGAACTACTGTGTCATGGTAAGGACCCATAGGCAGCGAAAGAGGCTTGTAACCATATAAAGCCTCAAATGGTGATACCCCCAAACTGGTATGATAGGCAGTGTTGTACCAAAGTTCTGCTGAACTAAGCCACTTACTCCACTGAGTTGGAGTTTCACTGGTCATGCACCTCAAATAAGTTTCCAGACACTGATTCAACCTCTCACTTTGGCCATCAGTTTCAGGATGGTAGGAAGAACTGTAGTGCAGTTCAATACCAGCCATCCTAAATAACTCCTGCCAAAACTTACTGGTGAATACCCTGTCCCTATCTGTTATGATGGATTCTGGTAGCCCATGGAGTCTGTAAACCTGCTCGAAGAAGACTTGTGCCACTTGAGCAGCTGAATATGGGTGAGAGAGTGGCATGAAGTGGCCAAACTTAGTCAATCTATCAATGGCTACCAGGATAGTGTCAAAACCTGCAGAGCTAGGTAGTTTTTCAATGAAATCCATGGTGATATGTGACCAGTCTTGGGTAGGAATTGGCAATGGCTGAAGTAGGCCTGGGTAAGGTATCCGTTCACTTTTGCTCTTCTGACAAACTTCACATTCTTGTATGAACTGTATGATCTCCTTCTTCATTCCTGGCCAGTAGAATATACTCTGTACCCTGTGGATACAAGCTCGCTGACCAGAATGTCCTCCAACAGGGGACTCATGCAAAGCCTTGATTATCCTCTGCTTAATACCCATGCTATTCCCCACAAACAGCTTCCCTTTAAATCTGAGTATCCCCTGGTTGAGCTAGAAATCAGAGTTCTGGGGTGTGGGATCTAGCAGCAGTTGACTCATCAATTCCCTGCAATGTGTGTCTTCAAAATAACTGTCCTGTAATTCTTGCATCCACATAGGTTGTGCTCCAGTGAGAGCCATCAACTGCAGTGGTTCATGTTGCAGCTCAACTCTGGTTCTTCTAGACAAGACATCAGCCACAGTGTTCTCTGTCCCTTTTTTGTACTGAATCTCATAGTCCAAGCCTAACAGCTTTGTCAACCATTTGTACTGGGCCGTGGTAGTCAGTCTTTGTTCCAACAAAAATTTCAAGGACTTGTGATCTGTCCTTATGATGAAGTGATTCCCTACCAGGTAATGCTTCCACTTAGTTACTGCAAAAACCAATGCCATTAGTTCTTTTTCATAGACAGACAATCCTAAGTTCTTAAGGGAGAATGCCTTGCTGATGAATGCTATGGGGTGACCTTCTTGTAAGAGAACAGCTCCCATGCCCAGTCCACTAGCATCAGTTTCCACCACAAAGGGAATATCAAAATTGGGCAATCTCAGTACTGGAGCACTACTGACAGCCTGCTTAAGGACATTGAAGGCTTTGTATGATTCTGGATTCCAGGCATAAGCATCCTTTTTCAGTAAATTTGTGAGTGGCTTACAGATTGCCCCATATCCTTTTATGAAACGTCTGTAGTAGCCTGTGAGGCCTAGGAAGCCCCTGAGTTCTTTGATATTCTTAGGAGGGGGTCAGGAGAGTATGCATTCCACCTTACTCATATCCATACTTACCCCTGTCCTGGACACCACATGCCCCAAGTACTCCACTTCTTGCTGAGCAAAAGAACACTTCGAAAGCTTGGCATACAACTGATTCTGTTGGAGCACCTTCAGCACCTGCCCCAGGTGTTCCTTGTGGAGGTCCATGGTGGCACTGTAAACCAGGATATCATCAAAGAAAACCAAGACAAACTTCCTCAAAAATGGCTCAAAAACCTGGTTCATCAGTGCTTGAAATGTTGCTGGTGCATTGGTGAGCCCAAATGGCATTACCAAGAACTCATAATGTCCCTGATGAGTTTGAAAGGCTGTCTTGTGTGTGTCTGCCATCTTGACTCTGATCTGGTGGTAGCCTGATCTCAGGTCGATTTTTGAGAAAAATTTGGCTCCATATAGCTCATCCAAGAGTTCATCAATATTGGGGATAGGGTACCTATCCTTAATTGTCAAGTCATTTAGGTGCCTGTAATCTACACAAAAACGCCAAGTATTATCTTTCTTCTTAACCAACAGCACAGGTGAAGCATATGGACTATTGCTTGGTTTGATGATTCCAGATTTTAGCATATCTGCTATCTGCTTTTCAATCTCTGCCTTCTGTGAGTGAGGGTACCTGTAAGGCTTCATTTTAAAAGCTTGTGCTCCTGACTTAAGGGGAATTTGATGATCCAAAGATCTGTTAGGGGGCAGCTGAGTAGGCTCCTGAAATACTCCTGAGAATTTCTCCAAGACAGCAGTAATTGATCCAGGAACTCCCTGTGTAGTTGTGTCCTCCTTCCCAGCCTGTGCTGCAATAGCACAGCACCTCCTTTTCTCATGTAAGAAACCTCTGAGATCCTTCCTTCTAATGAGTTCCATGGTTGCATCAGTAACTGCCCCATGCAATGTGACTACCTCCCCTTGATGAAACATGGAAATTTTTAGTTGGCGAAAGTCAAAGGTGATGGGACTGTAGTTGTGCATCCAATCTACACCCAGAATCAGGTCCCAATCGCCTAATTCCATTATCCTGAGGTCAAAGCAAAATTTGTTGTTCTGCACATTCCATGAAACCTTTGGACAGTGAGCTCCACTGGTTACCAAGCTTCCATCCCCCATGGTGACAGTGAAAGGCTTGATATATTCAAATGGAATGCCTTGTGTAGATACTAGCTTATGGTGGATATAACTATCACTGCTACCTGTATCCACTAATATTCTAACAGGCTCCCCTGCCAACTGTCCCTGCAATAGGATAGTATTCCTCCTAAGAGAATCTGATAAGGCATTTAGTGAAATTTCAACTGGCTCGCCTGGGTTTCCAGTTAATTCATCTTGTTCCCCCTGTGCATCCTGGAACTCAGTATCCTCCTCCTCCTCTTCATACATCATAAGGTTCAAGTGTTTCTGCCTGCATTGATGACCAACCCCAAACTTCTCCCCACACCTGAAACACAGTCCATTGCTCCTTCTGAACTGTAGTTCTTGAGGGGACAACCTCTTAAACTCTGGACTTCTATCTGAATTCTTGGGAGCTACTTTGGGAATGCTGTTCTGAGGTAGCTTGTATGCACTGACTCCTCCATTGGCAGACGTGTGATGCCTGTACATCCCAAATTTGGGTTCAGCCACCACTCTATTGCCATCCTTGACAGTTCTCCCTTGTAACCTGAGGGTCTGCTCCTGTAAGTAAGCCACCTCCATGACTCCAGAAAGAGTGTTGGGCTTGAGCATTTTCACCATAGGCTTAAGTTCTTCCTTGAGACCACTCGTGAAACTAGAAATAAAGTACTCCTCACTAAAGCTTGGATTCTGAATCAGCATCAATGTCTTTAGTTCCTCAAACTTCTCCTGATAAACCTCTACGGTGCCTACCTGTTGTAGTTTATTAAATTCCTCCACAATATCTCTACAACATGTTCCTTTGAACCTCTGGCAAAGCAATTCCCCAAATTCCTCCCATGTTAGTCTAGGTTTTTCCAACTTGATCCCCTGAAACCAGTTATCAGCTCTACCTTCCAAAAACATTTCTACCAGCAGCAATTTATGCTCATCAGGCACTTTATTCAGCAAGAAATATTTGTTGCATTTTCTGATCCATTCCCTGGGGTTCTCACCACTAAACAGATGTAATTCAAGTTTTGGAGGATTATAGCCAGGAATCTTACCCAGGAGCTCGCCACTTTTTGTTTCTCCATCTGCTCCCCAGCCTAACCTCTGATGACTGGGAGGTGTAGGAAGTAATGGAGCACGTTCCCTCACAACTCTGCCTTCTTCTTCTGAGATCTTCTCCTTGGCCAGTAGTGACTTCATCATCGAGCTGAGAGCCTCAAACTTTTGTTCCATTCCCAGGGTGATCGTATCCAGTCTCTTGTCCCTGCCTTCCATTTCCTCCTTTACTTGCAGCTGCAAGTTCTTCATGTCCTCCACAACCTCCTGCAACTTGAGTTCCTGCTTCCTGAGATGATCTTCTAAGGTTTTGAAGCGCGTACTTTCTGCCATTAGTGGATCTCTGAGCTGCCGAAGGATCGTCAGCTCTGATACCAATTTGTCAGGCCCTTCCAATCCAGGATGAATTGAAGAATTACGGTCAGAAGATTTGGGGGAAAATTTGAATGAGGGAAGAACAGAAAGGAGAGGGAAGAATGAGAGAGAGAGAGAGAGAGGGAGAAAGAGAGATAAAGAGTTGGAATGAAAATTGTAAATCTATTTCTTGTTATTGAGTCCATTGCATTTCCGGACATTTATACAACTACACAGAAGATTCTGATTCTAAATTGGCACGGAATGCCTGAGGATAACAAATTCTGTTATAACTAACTTGTACAGCTTTTGGCTCCAAGAAGACTAATTACCCTAAGCCCCTAAAACTTTGGTCCAAATTGCAATTACGTCCTTGCTCCTGACATCGAGTCGAGTTTGGACTCGAGCCGCTCGCGATTGGTTCGCGAGTCGATCAAAAGTGGTTCGATTCGTTTGCAGCTCTAGACTAGAGCCACGAAGTGTTAATGATTCGAACGCTAATGGTCCATTTGTTTCGGTGTAAAATATTTTTCAAAAAATCTTTTCCAAATTTTCCAATGTTTGGATGCAATTAGACCACTAAAAACCTTTTCTTTAAGAAAATAATTTACATTATTCGATGAAAAACAACTTACGCAATAGATTTTCTGAAGTTATTTTTCCCACTTACCGTAAGTTATGAATCTGACATCCAAAACTACCTATTTGTATCACCGTTACATATTCTCGTGGGACCTTTCTTTTTAGTTTGGGAAGAATCAGTTTATGTCTTTAAGAATGGTAAACAACGTAGAGTACTTGCAGATATTTTGTCAAAATGATGTTTTAAAAGTTAACCAAACATAGAAAATCATGAAACATCAAAATATTTTAATGAAAAATGTATTTCACTGAAAATATTTTTTCATGGAAAACATTTTACATCGAAACAAACGGACCCTAGGTGAGATGAAAATGCATCGGGGCTTAAACTTGCTAAATTCGTTTGGCAATCTACTGGTGCAAGTTTTCCTCTCCAACTGTGCAGCTTGAAACACCTCACAATAATCTGAACAGAATCAACCAGACCATCTTCTGTGATTGGATAATTGATGCCTAGGTTACACAAGCTTGGGCTAAAAGAATTTGAATGGTAGTGCTATGCATATCCTCATCAAACGAAAGAGAGCATAAAATAATTCTTTTTTTTTCCGGAAACAATAGGAAGAGCATAAAATAATTCTGGAAAAGAAGTTGAACAAAATATACAGTCAATGGCAGTACAAAGATCTGTGCATTAATATGCTAATAAATACAGTGTGACTGAACATAATGTAATTAAGTAGAAGTAAAACTTAAAGCAAATCCAAATAAAGTAAAATCAGATTCTTCCACATTTTGTGTGTTTAAGGATAGTTTGCAAACAGATGTGATTTGCACTAGAAAAATTTGGGTAAAAATTATTGTATGTAAGTCGCTAGGTTTGCCACCCATTAACATTGAGTGTTTGGATAGCACGTTGATTTCAAATAATATTTTGCTTATTTTATAAATATATTTTTCAATTCATCTTTTTATCTCACATACATCACATAATAAAAGTTGCTATAGTAATCATTTCAAATAATATTTTATTTAAACACACTCACTGACGTGGCCACTTATTCAAACAAGAAATTTGATTAGAAAGGCAACAATGGACTAAAAAATGAACTTTTTTTTTTAATTTTTTTAACGTGGAACTCATTTTTAAATTTGAGGGAATTTTCCATTGAAAAAAGATAGCAGCGGTCTACTACTGATCTTAAGGGGGGTAAAAAGGAAAATAGAAGCATCTCGTGAGGGCAATAAACTGAAAAGGGAATTACTCAGGAGGGCGGAAAATGAAGACGGCGGCTAATGGACAAGCATACCCCCGGTGCCCTAGAAAAGCTGAGTTGAGCTAAATAGAGGGTTGAGATTATTCGGTGATGGAGCATCCAACGACTCACATTAAGGAGGTGATCGTATATAAGAATCGCAGAAGCCCTAACCGCTCCGTCACTTCACTTCACCTTTACAGGCGCCCTCGAAGCTGCTGGCTGCTTCTCTCAGGGAATTCGGGTCTGTTTGATTCCTTGAGCTTTCCAAAAATCTCATAAGATGGTAAGTTGCTTGCAGTCGTCTATCTTATACTGGTCTCGTTGTGTTTGATCTGAATCTGCTCTGCAAATTTTACTATCTTCTGATTGATTATTCGTTAATACTGTATGTGTAATATTTAGCTTTTAGAGAGATTAATTTTATGCTCTTGTTTTCTTCTTCTTTTCGGATTCAATCATCTTAAGGTGCTGCCAAACGATGTCGATTTGCTAAACCCTCCTGCTGATCTGGAGAAGAGGAAGCACAAGCTCAAGCGGCTGGTGCCCTCCCCCAACTCCTTCTTCATGGTACTATAGCTAGTTACTCTCTCTCTCTCACTCTCCAAACCCCTTTTTTTAACTCTTGTCTATTGCCTTTTACTTTTCAGATTACTGATTTCTTTGTTTCTCAAGAAAATAATCACATATCATCCATTGATAATGAGTAATTTTGTATAGCCTGCTGACGAGTTGTTTTTTGTTTTATTTTGGTGTCATATTTATAGGATGTGAAATGTCAAGGTTGCTTTAACATGTAAGTTACCACGTCCTTGGACCAATACTAGTATTTTTTGCTTCCTTGGCTGGTCCTGTTATAGCTTAATTTGGTCTGCCTGATTGTGTGGAATTTGATATGTTCCATCTCTGTGCATATGCAGAACCACTGTGTTCAGCCATTCCCAGACAGTGGTGGTCTGTGGTAACTGCCAGACAGTGTTGTGCCAGCCCACCGGTGGACGTGCCAGGCTCACTGAGGGATGTTCTTTCCGAAGAAAGGGTGACTGATTCCTTTTTTCTTTTGTTAAAGGGAACAGTTAAAACAGTTGCTAGTTTGTTGAAAGTGAGAGAGTCGGGCTGAGATTTTGTTATTTTGATTGTTGCTTTTGTTTAGCATGTAGTAGTTAAAGAACTAAGTTTTGGATCTATAACGACTTTGAGTTCTGTGATTACTTTTAAAGTGAGAATATATTTTATTTGGGTAATTTGTTTTCCTTTTGAAGGTAACTTTCACTGTACTTGTTGGTTTGTGCCTGTGTTTCATGTATTGAAGTTTTTTTAACCCCTCTATCAATGCGTTACCTCTTTGATTTTCACTTGTGCTAACCAATGTGGTCATGATCTGGGAATAGCTTTTAATTGCATCGTTTGTTGATCCTAAGTCACTAAGCAATTCCTGTCATCTGCATCATTGCATGTTACCCTGTAATAGAGAAGCGAGCGCGAGAGTACCAGTTCAGCAGGTAGTTTTGTATTCGTTCATAGAGATAGAATCTATAGCAAATGAGGGCCAAACCATGGTACTTTTGCATTTTTTCTTGAAAGTGCACCTGGCTATGTGCATTATGAAATGTTTCTTAGTCTTGATTCTTTGCTCATAGTGCTTATTCTTTCTGCGTACCACTTCTATGGGAATATTCTATGCGTTTTTGGGGTTGTTTTGTCAAGTTGTGATCAGTGATCATAGTCTTAAAGCTTGTACCTGGAGTCTTGGAATTTTTGCAAGGGAGAAGATTGTGTTAGTGGTAACTAATGATATTGAATTGCTTAGTGGAAAAATGATCACAAAAATGTTATTGGTGCAAGGATCCATGTGTTTAATAAAAAACGAGTACAAATTATTCATTTAACTTAGGGGCAGGCATCCTAGTTGTAGCAGAAGGTTTATGGTTTGATCTGTATCATATTGTGGTCAATTTCTACTATACCGGCCTAAAATACCTCATTTTCTTCTTCCAACTGGTTTTATTTGTTTGTGGATGAAGTATTGGAGGCCTCCTACTTGTTTATTGCTTGATGTGTCGGAATAGGGTGGGCATTGCTTTCTGAACTATCATACGTTGGGGTTTTTAACTGTGATTTTGTTTGGTGGTGGTTGAAAATGAATAGGACTGGGGCCTCTCACTCCTCCCCTACTCGTTGAAATTACTGAATTGCAGATAATGATTGTTTTTTTTTTTGAAATTATATCCCAAATAATGTTGAGATACAAAAGCTGAGTTATAACACTCGTGTCCTTTTTAACTCCACTGAAGCTGGGAAAAAGCCCCCTAAGCCATTTGATGAAAGTATTCGTTGAGAACCAGAAATAACAGATAATTTTGCTGTCAATAAGCACAATAGCCACTAAACTAGTAGCTTATTGTGGTAAGAGTGGTAGAATTACATGAGCAGGGTGGTGGCAGTTAACCCCCTCTCATGTGCGCCTCGGCTCACGACCCCCTTTTTTTTTTACTCCTAAACGATGACATTCTTTGTATTGATTTAACCTGATAGTACAAGTATAAATTACGAAAGGTGCAATCTGCCATCATTGTTCTTCTGTACTAGATCCTTGATCCAACCTGGGAAGTTTGTTTGCCATTTTACATCATTAACAATTTTCAAAACAAATTTTACTAGTCTATGCTACAATTTATTGCTTGTTCTATAGACAAAAAAAGGAGAAAGGGCACTGGTCAAAAAACTCACTCAATTCTTGTGTGTCCTCCAGTACAATAGTAATATTGTAGTCATTGTATGTAATGCTGTCGATTACACTTTTGGCAGTGAGATTGGATATCAATCTTTCTCCAACCTGCTTCCTTTTACAATTGAAGAGTTGTTCTAATTGCCAGGGCCTCTTCTCGTCTTGGTTCTCTTATCTTTCCGTCGTTAATTGCCCAGGCCTTCAAAATGTGTCCCTTCCAGTTCCGAGCTACAATTCCTTACAATGCCCGGGTTCACTACTTGAAAAATAAAAATTGTTGACTAGCAAGCTCCTAATATGATATATCCTGCTAATAAATTATACACGAGGCTGCGGTCGTTATCCTGAGTCTTAGTCCAAAGACAAATTCTTAGTAAAAATTGTATGAATTGTATCATCACATCCCTTATTCGGATAAAGAAGATGTAAGCGTCTACACAAAGTAGCGTTGTTTTTCCTAGCAGTACTAACTAGTCCAGCTTTTAATGAGGTGAAAACGGAGCCAAATTATCCGGGCATTAGGCTGGTCGGGGTCCACTAATAGGGTCAAACAGGATTCCTCCTCAGCGGGTGCAGGATTTTAGGGGCCGAGTTAGTGTGAGTCACCACCATCCACTGCGAACGCACGTCTAAAACAAAAAAACAAAAGAAAAAGGCCCCAAATGAAAAGTGGGTCGAGTTTCTTTGAGGCACGGAGTCAAATGAAAAGTCAATTAGTAAATAGTTTATCGGCTACTTTGCCATCATGCTAAATAAAACACACACACACACACACTATTAAGCACTTGTGATGATTAGTGATAATTGATTTAGTGCACAAACATATATTGTACTAACAACTAAAAATCTTCAAGCAATTTTGTTGTATTTAATAGTAGTACTATTAAGTTAAAAACAAATAAAGATTCTAAAATGAATTCGCCTCCAATTTCCACTCGTAATCCAAAAATCCTGCCAAAACATGTTTCATTACTCTTTTTTTTTTTGTCAATTATCACCATGTATTTTCACTCTTACTACTATTCTAACCTGTTCTAAGGAAGCGATCCAACTCTTACTCCTATTCTAACCTATTCTAAGAAAGTGATCCAATTGGATCAAAGAGAACCGATGGGGATTGAACCAGTATTGGACTATACTGGTGCACTACGTACTTATATGAATTTAGAAGAAATCACATTAATAGCAATGTGATGGTAGATAGGATTTGAATTCTTAACCTCCCACTCCATGAAGACGCGGTGAGCAACTATTTGTATGTGCTCTTCATATAATAAACCCTTGTTGCGTCCTTCAATACCAGAGAAAAAAAAAAAAAAAAAAAGCAATTCGCGGGATCAAAGATGTGCATAAGACTTGGTCAACAAATAGGCCTGAGATATGTGCAGATGCCAAATTATATACTCCTACTCCTGCACGAGGGAGTGATTTGAGAGTTTGGGGTCTCCATGAATTGGGGTGTCACTGCCGGGAATTTCAACGTTCATGCTTCGCTAAACATAAAACATTGCACGAGAAGTTGGACGGTTGCTTGTTTTCTGAGTTTGACTTGCTTTTTGTGGGTGTGTGCGTGTAGAGTAGAGGATTGTGTAGGGTTTGAAAGATAGGCCACTAGTTTGACCGGAGAAATTACGAGTGGTGAAAGAAAGCTTCGTAGAATCGGTTAAGGTGGTGGTGTTGGGGACGGCATTGATGCGGAGAATCATCATCAGACAGACATCCCACCTGAAAATTGGGGGTTGGGGCTGAGCTCAAGGGCTTAAGCTGCAGTGATTACTTTTAGAGAAAAGTAATAAAATCGGTGGTACTAAAATCAAAAGGCAGAGCGAGCATGCATGCATGTACTAGTAGTCTGCCATACACTAACTAGGGCACTGACTAAGCGTTATGTCCCGCGGGGGCGCGAGTCACATGCAACCCAACACCGACACCAATTGCCTTTCTTCTTTTTTTTTACCCTTTAAATTAACCCAATTTCTTGGGCCTTGGGTATATGGCCGGGCGCACTAGCTTTGCAACGCCACTTGTGGCCAATCATGGCTTTCTTTTTTTTTTTTTCTTTCTAGTGCGGTGAAAAAGGTGAATTTATATCACTTGTTACTGTAGCTAGTAAAAGCAGTAATACATTCCTCCTCCTTCTTCATCTACAATTATTCCGCCCGTAATATGTTCGTGTCTTTGAACTTTTTAGTTGCGAAATTGAAATGAAATTTGATCGAGTGAGAGTTGAGATTTAGAAGCACCTTAACACTTTTCAGTTGCTAATCAATCATATGGAAGTTGATTTTATTTAATCTTTTATCCCATGACTTAATCATATGGCCCCAATGCCTCCAATCATAGCACGCTTAATGAATCAATCCAGAAGACGACGATGATTGAATCTCATCGGGCAATCATGAGAGTGATGAGATACAGAGCTGAGTTACAACAAATCATCATTTTTTTTTTTTTGGAGAGGGATACATATGGTGCATATGGTAAAGAGGTAGACGCATGCATGCCAATGGAGATCCACGGTGATGATGGCATCCAACTCTCTCTCTCAATCTCTCTGTACTGCTAATTATTAGTTGATCCTTGAATGGTCCGGTCCACTGCTCCATGCATGCTCAATTTACTCAAATCATGCATTCGGACCAGAATTGGGCAGTTCATTTGAATGATCTAAAAACGAGAGAATTAGGCCCTAAATGCCCTGATACTACAACAACTTAAACCCTTCTGTCCTGTCCTATTTCTCCTTAATTACTAATAATCACTGCATAATCAAGTTTTATATATTATTGGTCAATGTCAGGCATTCAAATGCGAGACTAGCTAGGCAGAGCGGTCTCTTGAATATAGTATTCACCTGATAAATGGCTCTCATGATACTCTGCTCTTTTTTTTTTTTTGTAAGTGATGATTGAATGGAGTCGGACTAGGAGGTGGTGGTCAGTTGTAGCCCCCCGCCTTTTTTTTTTTTGATTGCCAAAATCCATGTCCCATTCCCATTGATTGATTTACTACTACTACTACTAGTAAATGTAATGGCACAGAGTGATGAAGAAGAAAGAAAGATGTCAAGAGTAGTTTAAAACTAGACAGCATATGCAAGGCTATTAGGCGGCTAGGATTGAGAAACTGAAATACTATTAATTATTTAGTAAAAAAAAAAAGCCCACAGATGGCTGTACTATATATATATGTGTGTGTGTGTTGTGTGATGATCAGCTCAGCTAAGAGCCTTCGCATACACTGCCATTCCCGCCTAAGGGTCACTCACACTCACACACACACACACACCCCCTCCATATTTAATAGTAGCAAATTAGCAGCAGCAGCAGCTCCTTAACAATCAATTTCTTCTTCTGCTGCAGACAACGGGGCAAGCATCAAACTGGAATTCTGCCCTCAACCCAATCATCTTTCTCATCCTTTTTCACCACTACTACTAATACCAGCTATTGATTAGTGCTCATTGCTGACTATTCAATTTTTATAAAAAAAAAAAAGACTATCCTTGGGACCTTGTACTGTACTAGTTAGTACAGCAGCAGTACCGGATACGGGAACATGGATATGAGTAGTAGTCGCGGCAGTAAAAGCAATGATGAGGTAGTATTAAGTGGAAATTCAGCAGCCTCTCCCAACTCAAAGAGTAGAAGAAAGAATCAGCAGCAGCAACAACAAGATCAATCAAGCGGCGGCGGGAGCAGCAGGTTCCTCGGGGTGAGGAGAAGGCCCTGGGGCAGATATGCCGCAGAAATAAGAGACCCCACCACCAAAGAGAGGCACTGGCTGGGGACATTTGACACAGCTGAGGAGGCAGCCTTGGCTTACGACAGGGCCGCTCGCTCCATGCGGGGCTCCAGAGCGCGCACCAACTTCGTCTACTCAGACATGCCTCCCGGTTCATCCGTAACCTCCATTGTGTCCCCCGACGAATCTGATTCACTAATGCATCACGCACATGACCATGACCTGTCCTCCGCGGGACTAGTCCTCTTCTCTAATTCTCCGCAACAACAACAACATCAGCATCACCAGCAGCAGTTCTTATTCTTTGGCGGTCATCATGAGACTAGTAACAATCACTTCACGCCGGCTGGGGATGGAAGGGGACACTACTGGAACAAATGGAATCATCATGCTACCTGTGGTGGTGTTGCTGCTGCTGCTGCCGGTACAGGTAATAGTACTAACGTGATCATCAACAGCTTGTTCCAACAGGAGGAGGATCAGAATACAAATTCTGCTGCTGCTCCTGGCGACTCCTACGATAACATGATGAGTAGCTTCTTGTTGTATGGGAATAATAGTGACGATCGCTCCTCCTCCTCCTCGGGGGCCGGGGCAGAATTGCCACCATTGCCGCCTGATATTACGTCAAGCTACTTTGGGAGTCCGACCAGCGAGCCACCGCTACTGCTTTCAGACATGGGCCGCGGGATTCTGAATGACATGAGTTTTCTCGAGCTGTCAGAGCGGCCCAGCCGCCCAAGTTTCAGCAGCACACAAGGAATAATGGAGTATCACGACCTCGTCAATTCAGGGACGACTGGGACTGCCACTGCAGCAGCTGCTGCTTCTGCAGGCAGCTGCGACTTCGTGCATCCTTCCTCCTCGGATAGTTTTGGGGCTGATCATGCCAATATTCTCGATGATCATCATCATCACCTTTCCTGCTCCTCTACCAACAACAGTATTAATTTCTCCAGCTTTGGATGGTTTTGACTTTTGAGACTACTTGGAGGTAGTTGATCATTCATGCAGGGTCTGTTAGTTTTGTAAGGTTCCAGCTTCATGAATTTGGTTTTGGTGTAGTACTACTGCATGCATAGCTGGCTGGCTTTCTTCATAACAAGGTATTTCCGCTTGTTTCTGTTTCGATTTTTCTCACTTCCCCACCCACCCCACCCCCCACCCGGGGCCCCCTCCCACCAGAGAAAACCCCTTTGTGTGGGTTTTTTTTTGCTGTTTGGAAAGGGGAGGGGGAGGGTGCTCCTCAAGAAACGGACAAGAACCTCAAAACGATCAAATCCCAAGACATATAACCAGGGATTACCGGGCCGATGCCCTACCTTTACTTTGTACACTGCATTGCAAGAAAACAGTGCAGTGCGTATGCTTTTTCAAAATTCTTAGCGTTTTCAAAGCCATCATCTTCCTTTATTTCTGTGCTTCTGGTGTCTCAGTATTTGTACCCAAAGAGTTCTCCTATGAACAGCTGGATTTTCTTCTTCTTCTTTTTTTTTCTCTTGCTTCTCTAGTTAAAGATTAGACCAACACTAAATTCATTCACAAATTTGTTTAACCAGTTGAAAAATTAATCTCCTCCAGAATGAGATGAATATAAAAAAATATATTAATAATAACAACACACACAAATACACACGATGAACAGACAGCAAACTCGAGGAACTGCTACATAAATCATCAGGTTCTAATCACACCAGGAACTAAACTTTGACACTCAAGATAAACAAGGAGTGATGAAAATGCAATGGAATTAAACAGAGATGAGGGACACTGAAATTATACGAGAAATGACTTAATCTAGCTCAAAATATATTTTCCAGAATCGGATGCGAACAGAATTGAGCATGACGACCACTTGAGGTCGTGGCGGCATAATACAATAATTTACCGCTCATGCAATACCCCGTGTCACCGCCACAAGATTACTTTAAAATGGAAAAAAGCAACATAAAATGATAAGCAGAAAACCAAAAGCATATTTACATCAAAAATATTCAACTGATGAACTGAACATCATAAGTCAGGTTGCTCAGGTTTCAAGGGTGCAGATGATGATGCACAGTTCCCATTCTGCAGGTACAAACTGTTCGCAACTAGAGAGTCACTAACCAAGCCAACATCAACGTCATCAAAATTCAGTGCACCCCTGAGCTTCCGAGTACTGAAATTTGTGGGGAGAAAAGGTAAGAGTCAGTACATTGCCCAAGCACTTTCGTGCTTCAATAAATTGTTTGGTACCAGCTATACATACCCATTCAAGCGATTATTGATGGCAGTCAAGTCTTTCGAGGGGCTCTGATAAGCATGTGTGCTTTCTCCAACACAAGCATAATAGCTTTTGGAGCTATGTGAGATCAAAGCATCCATCTGTAAGCATGGCCCAGATCTACATTAAGCAACTAATCATACAAGGGATGCATTTTAAATGTTTTACAAGTTAATTGATTTGCTGCGTCCTATAACCTTCCAATGGGGTCTCCTATAACAACAGCAATCCCCAAACACACCTGACATTTTCAGATAAATGAACAATCACTGACAAACTCGAGAACATCATAGTGGTGTCGCTTATTTCCTTCTACATAAGCCCTTCTGTGGCCAAACTGCACAACGCTATAATTCCTATATCCGGTGGTTCAAGCCTTCTTAAAGTTCATTCAATACTTTAAACAAGGTGAAAGCTAATTACTCATTGCAAACAGGGCAAGTCAAACTGCACAACACAATAATTCCTATTTCTGGTGGTTCAAGCCTCCATAAAGTTCATTCAATACTTTAAACAAAGTGAATGCAAATTAGCCATTGCAAACAGGGCAAATTGCCAAAATAGTACCCCCTCCTATTTGAGCTTTATACTCCCTCCATCCCGTTTCATGTCTTCGTTTCAATTTTGGTTTGTCCCCAAAATTTTGCCATAGATCTGTACGGATTTTACTCCTTTCCTTTTAAAATTATGTATTTTTTTGGTCCCTCACATCTGAACATTTTAACCTTTTAGTCCCTCGCTTTTAAAATGATGAGTTTGATCCAAAAGGTAAAATGCTCATCCCAAAAATCATTTTTGGACGAATTTTCACCTAGAATGACTACAATGAATATGCCAAAATATTGTGATACTCGTACAATTTCCTATGGGTACCGTTTATAGATAAAATTGCAACAGGAAATTGTCTCAATTTGCGTGCTAGTAGTTTGTACAAAATAATTATAGACCTCCTAAAATCCATCCAAAATGCATCATTGCTGTAAAGAAAATAATTTTCTGTTCCCTGACAACACCTCAAATCAAGATTTAAATACAAAATCGAACAATTTACCTTTACCTTTACTTAGATAAAATATCTGCAAAAAAAATAAAAAATTGAGCTGGAAAAGTTTGCAATTTTTCCCAATTTCAAAATAATGCTCTAGACTTCAGAAAATGAATCTGGCTGCCTCAAATACTAGTTTATGAGCTTTGGTTGAATATATTTCAAAGTTACAATTTCATGTAAAAATGTGAGGCAAGATAAGTTTTGTGACAGAAGTGGTCCATTTTGGATATCTGAGAACCAAACTCATCATTTTAGAAGTGTGGGACTTAAAAAAGTACAAAGCTCAAATGTGAGAGACTATTTCAGCAATTTTTCCTACCAAAAAATGTAGAACTTCTGAAAATATGAACCTCAAAAGATATTAGAGGCTTTGCAGCTGAAATGACCACTATAAGCCAAGTAATCAACATGCAATGGTAGCATCAGAAAGGAACACGAAAGTATCTCATGCTTTTCTCTTGTGATTAGATTATATTAACAGAACATATAGACAAAAGGAATGAAAGAATTTAAGGTTATGAGCACCCGAAAAGATTACTCCCAGTAGACAAAGCTACAACCTTTGATGATCGCAGGGGAGAGACGTATACATTGTGTGCAGCAGAGACTTTCTTCGGAGACATGTCAGGGAGACTTGGAAATGGAGATGTCTTCGGAGATGTGGGACATTGACCTAATTAAAAGGGAAGACACACAAAATCATTCCTGGCCATTGATTGCATGGATAGAATATATTCCACTTTTTTTTTCTTAATAGAAAAAGGAAAAATCTCATTACACAAAAGCAAGTCAAAATGGCTTACCCTCATTGTTATTGCTACCTCCTACGACTTGATTATCTTTTTGAGCTGTTCCTGCTGGGGAAAGCTCAACTAAAAGGGGTTTCACAGCAGGCACAAATATTTCATTGTAAAATGTGATAATATCAACATGATCTTGCCCACTTTTCTGTTCCAAAAACCATTAAAAGGTTTTAGTACTTGCACAAAAGACAGGGAAGAGAGAGTAAAGAACCGTACTATACCCCGCTGCAGCGTGCTGATCTCCAGTCAATGAAAACACTGCGAAAAACTTGTGGCTTGCATTGTGGTTGTTTTCTGTAGTTATAAATGATTTCCTTAAACGTCAGGTTCAGTTGCGAAATCTGCAGGTCAAAGCTTAAAATATTAGGTATAACATGGATGGTAGACCATCATGCTTCATTTTTATAATAACCCAACAGTACCTTGGCAACTCCATAAAAACAACAGAGGATAATTTGGTCAATGTGGCGGTTGAAGAAAAGGGTAGTCCGCTGACTAAGAATTTTCTGGAAAAAACAGTAAACAGTCTCTCTCATGTGCTGAGGCAGTTGTAGCCGCTCGACCATGCCATTAATCCTGACAGCTGCTAACTTTACAATCTGGGTAAAACAATAACTTTCACCTTAGCTTTAGAAAAGTCACAATTAACTTAATCAGGTATTAGCCTCAAGCCCAATAAGTATTTGAAAAATAGCATTTTGAGGAAGAGATCACAAAGCAAGCAATTCCACTTTTAAACGGCCTACATTTCCTTGACGAAGAATCACTGCACAGATGCAGCTCTAGCATTCACATATAAAAATAAGGAATATCAAAAGAAGATCGGCTATCCAAGCAGCCACAAAAAGCAGGCATGACCTTTTATAAAAGGCTAGCTAAAGAAAAGCCCCATTCAATTTACTGGTCCTCTTCCCAAGAAAAACAAAAGCAACACTTAAAAGGAAGTCTGGAACCAATATAGGAACTGATTAATAAATAATTACAAAACAAGGGCAGTAGGTGGAATGCAAGTTTCTTAACTTATATGCAAGCACATTCCATATAAGCTTTTAAGTGGTCTAACCTTACTATACCAGCTAAAATAGAAAAACAACCATCACATACGAACAATACCTTGCCAAAGAATACAGTAATTGCAGTTTCTGCACAAGTTTCCCCTCCACCACCAGGATTTGGCCTTGTAGGACTGTAAAATTCCAAGTCAGGCAAATTTATAAACTGGAAGAACAGTCAAATATCTTGGTTCAAATAAAAATGTTCTCCCATATGCATGGATTTGACAACTACACCTGGCAAATGCAGACTGTAAAGCTGGTGCTGGAAACTTTGACTTCAGATTGTCAAGTGCCATCAGGCGATCTTTCACCGGTGACGTGAAGGAATTCCGCTCTACCAGCACACTACGATACTCGGTGCACAACCTTTTGGGTGACCGAATATCTCCATTCTGAACTGCACCTGTTGTGATGTATGTTAGCCAGGGGAAAATAAATACTATTAGCAGCTGGAATTCAAATGACAATAATTCATTTATTGTTCAAATCAGGGAAAGCTCAGAGTTCAAGAATCCACTCCATATATAAGTTCTGCACCTCCAAAAACTAAGATCTAAAGATCATACAACAGCAAAAAGGTCCAAGTGACAACTCCAAGTTGTGGAATGAGCTAAATTGATGAAAAAAATTCAAGGTAAGGTTGATGCAAATTATTACCAGGGGCATTTTCTTGCTTCTGTAATGATGACACAGAAGACATGTTAATATGCATAGCAATTGCATCCAAAGATGGCATTGGCTCAGCTAACAATCCAAGACGGTTTATTTCTGCAGAAAGTGCTGGCCTAGCAACTGTCAGAGAATTGTACATTGAAGAGCCCTTCTCCCACACCATACTCTCCAAAAGTCGTTCTTCCAAGGAATTTAAATGTCGCCTCAACTCCCTAGGAAGGCTTTCCTCATGTCTAATGAAACTCTCTATCACCTTGCTCAGATCAAAAGCTGTAATACCTGTTCTTTCTAGCACTGCTGGAAACAACATTGTCACTGTCTTATGTGTGGCAAGAACGAGTTCTGCCGAACAAGCAAGCATACATCGATGAAACCGCTCATTGGTTAGTAAAGAGGATAAGTTGTTAGCGTGCAAAATTTGGGACTCTGCCACACACATTGCAAGCAGAACCCTATAGTACAACTTTAATGCCTCAAGTCTACGTTGTTCTGCCCATATGTCATCCATCAAGCTTGTGGTTTGAAGGCCTCCAGCTGCAGAATACTCCCCAGGGCCACAACTTGGAAATATAGCCTCCAATATTACCTGGGACCTCCTTACCACATCAGCTGTTACATCTCTATCGCATGATGAAAGAAACCTCTCCAACTCAACCGAGGGTTTTGATGGAAGTGGTGCAATAACAGTTCGAAGCCACTTTGCAGTGTTCATAGCTGTGCTTACAGGAGTAGCAGCCATTCTTGGGTTGCCACTGCCAGGAACAGAATGTAAATGAGATGGAGCAGGAGAGCGGTAGGGTGAGAGTGGACTTGTGATTGTTTTTGCCGGTGATGCAATCAAATCAATCTTCCTCTACAAATTAATGAAACCAACCAATTAAAGAAGAGAGAAAGAGAGAGAGCACTATAAGCTAGTATTAAACTATCCGGGATTTTCTTAAATTTGGGACACACCTTTGCTCCATTCATGTTTATTGCACCACCAGACAAGCTCCCAGATCCGAGCAAACTATCATCGTCATTAATAAAGATTCTTTCATCTAAGTCACCTTTATTTCGAATCGCGTCATCATAATTTTTTTCCAGTATTGTCATACTAGAAGATAAAGATGATTCGTCCATTAGATCTTCAAAATAGACCAATTCATCTGTCTTGGACATGTCAAGGATATTAGCATGAACACACATACCATAAGAAATATCAGAATGTAAATGAACAGACATTGGACAGTTCTAAAATTCACCTGTGTCAATCCTGTCCACGTTTTCTATTCTGCATTTTGATGCCATGTGCGGCTTCTTCTTCAATATATCTGTGATAAGCTGGTTGGATTTTTCCAGCATTCTCTTTAACTCATCTTCCGATGTCTCGTATAATTTGCTAAGGGATGCAATTAGGTCTACTTTATCACCTTTCTTAACTGCAAAGAGGACAACAAGATGAGAGAGTCATACAGTAGATTTTCTTGATCAAAAACTAAAGGGCATAAAGATAAAATTTTTTACATTATTATTACTACAAGGGCATTTAAGAGATAATTACCAAATCTTGAAGAGTCATTGATGTTCAAGTTCCTGTAGCATACTGGAACATGTATAATCAAAATAGCCTGACACAAACATTTATAAACCATTAGCAAGTAAAATCCACATGTCAAATATCCCTGGCACACATACTGACCTAAGACTCTCACATGACAGAAACTAAAAACTAAACATGAAAACTTAGACTTAATTTCCCTTTGTTAGTCACTTCTTTTCTTTCACCATCCAAATATCCAAACTTTTCTTACAGGAAGTTAAGGAGCATGAAACAATAATGCAACTCAAACAAATGAAGCCCACAAGAACTTAACCAACCAGAATTGAAAGTAGACCGTTAGTGCTGGTCACTAAGTCCTTAAAACGACCAAATACACGAACCCGAAGCACCAGAAATAGCAACCATCCAAAACGACGATAGTCCAAAGTGTATCCAGTATCATTGGCAAAAGCGGAGAGCTTGTCAGTGGCATCATTCGTCAAAAAGATCTCCCCGTATGTGCGCTTATAGTACCTTTCATCACAGAAATAGTTAAAGTTACAGTTATTATTCCATAAATCCGAAAGTAGAGAAAATTTATTTTCCTTACAATAAAATGGAAGTAACTTATTTTCTGCATGCACAATGAATTTCATCAGATAATCAATTTATCCTTTTGACAATCCCCATATTTATGTCTAAAGCACAGCAACAACACTAACAGGTGTTTCTCCATCCTACAATCCCTTGAAGAATGGGAACTGAAAAGCACCTTGGAGAATAAGCGGAAACCTCAAATTCTATAATTAATTAGCCAGCTAAAAGAATTAAGACTCAAATAAGCTAGAATACAAGACAAGGAAAAAATTCAAAATATCAATTCGAGGAACATATCAAATATTCAGTTTCATGCAGCTTGGTGAAACATAGTTGAAGGTCTCATTATCACAAGGATATTGTGCTGTAATATCTTATGCACCTTTTTTAGTAGAATAGGCTCAATTGATTTAGGAAAAAAAAATATAACAACTCACTGCAAGGCATGGCAAACAGTATTTCAGCATGACTTTGACCACATATGAGAAGTTAACAGCATTAAGCTTTTAACATTGTGGATCACCAAACTTAACGCTACCTCAAAGTTCATAAAGTAATCTTAAGTGATCCATAACAGACTAGAAGATAATTACAATTCAGGTATCCGGACCAATATCGTTATAACTCATGAAGAAAGTCACAATTTCCTGGAGTGCATTTCATGAATGCAAATTCTTTTAAGCTTCATTATAAGAATTACAAGAATGAAACTAGCAATAATTAAGGTGGTAGCCAACTATTATATGCAACAGCTCCCTTGTTTATTAGAGCAGTGCCCTGTCAAATTACAAGCATTGGCTTTGAGTATTACAAGTCCCATGGATATAACATGACACAGTGCTTGTTGTACCTAAACAGGCCTACTGATTGTGTTATATCCTACAGCCACTCAATCACATCTTAGATCAACCCTTAATAAAAGGATCTTAGCATGAGATAGGTAATGAGATCGTAGATATGAATGCGATTACTCAGAATAAAAACTTTGAATAATCATTGTGACTAAGTTTATCAAGACAGCAACAGAAATGAAGAACTTTTTTCTCATCAGAACATCTACGTCACAAATGTGAGAAAGAAATCAGAGCACGGTACTCACTTGCTCAACAGGCTCAAGTGTACAAAGTTTGTCTGCATTTGCTTTGCCTAATGGAATGGAGAGAAAGAAATGACAAGAGAATTAAAAACAACATACAAGTAGGAAATTAAAATAAAGAGCCAAAGTGAAACCCCACAAAAATAAGAGGTTAAATAGGTCAGCCAGCACACAACATAATCACCCCAAGATGAATGTCTATATCAAGTACCTCAAGTCTCTTCTCCCAATCAACACCGTAAAGATTAGTTAAAATGGGCGCAACTTTGAGAATAAAGTGAGGAAGTTCTTTGAAAAAATCACCTACACTGCAAATTTGGGTGGGGGGAAGGGGGAGGATTCATCAGTGACTATCGTGGAAGTGTTGGATGAGAAATCATTTTTTTGAAACATGCGGCAACAAATTAAAGTTGGCCAAGAATGCATACTTGAGCTTTGCAAGTCTTAAAATTTGGCATAAAGTAAATCCATTTTCATCAACATGTCCTGGACTGGAAGTATCTACTTCCCTCACACCCAACTTCTTGACAGTGAAAAGAACAAATGCAAACCAATAACGTTCTGCTTCATCAGCCTGTGATAAGATGAAGAAATAAGATGGCAAATAATATCAAAACAACCACCCAAAGAGGTTGCAAAGGTGTAGAGAGAGAGAGAGAGAGCTTAAACATGTAGTAAGCTTACCGTGCCACTTCCAATGGCAGAAACATTGGCAGCCAAAAGATGCCTGCTTTCGTTAAACAAATGTAATGCTTGCGGCAAAGTGCTGCCATCCATTGATAATGATGCATTCTGTTGGGAAGAGAAATCAACTAAATCGATCAAGCAAAGCAACAAAGTTGAACCAGAAATCGTGATTGAAATTTTCCTCAGATAATTCCCTTCCCCGCCTGCACCCTCCTTTCGAAAAATCTCAAATAACTTCAAAAACAGAAGCGCCGCACAAGCCCCAGAAAATGAAGAAGCCCAATATGGTTTAAGAAAAAAGAAAGTAAAATTGAACACGCAAAATTTGGGGGGGGGGGGAGAAGAGGAAATTGGTTTAAAATGAAAAAGAGAGCAGAAGAGACCTTGCAAAACTCAGAGAATCGGACATCAATGGAGGTGGTGGAGGGAGTAGCTCCACCTTCAGCTCCAATTCCACTTCCAACTTGGGAATCCACCAGCTTGGGTGGAGTGGAAGGTTTGTTGATTCCATCATCTTCCATGGTCATGGGATCAGAGCAGAAGCAGTAGGAAGCACAGATTCTCGGATCGAAGATCTGACAAGTAAAGGAGGATGGAGATCCCAAAATCGAAGGCAGGAAACCCTAGGAAACGCCCTCCCAAAGTTTAGCACGGCAGCTCTCAAAGAGAGATCCGACTCCAAAGTTCAAAAGCAACCAGGAAAAAAAGCGCCGAAACCGGAGGCCGGAGCTGAGGCCGCTCCTCTTCCTCTCCTCCTGTCTTTAGTAATGAGTAATAGTAGTACAGGAGTTGTATTTTCCCTCGCTTTTTTCCCTCTCTTATCTGAGTATACAACTCTCTCTCTCTCTCTCTCTCCCCACACTTCGGTTGCAATACCCGACAAAACAAATGATCATCAAGGCCTCTTTGCTCCCCTGTTCTATTTCTGTTTATCCTTTCCTTTTCTTTTTCTCCTTTTCTTTTGTTATATTATTTTTAGGAAAAATCGCCAATTTAGTCCCTAAAATTTTTTTCCCATCGATTTAGTCCTTATACATTATTTATAGTCAATTTAATTCCTGAACTTATATTTCGGTTTCAATCAAGGAGCTTAGCGGCGGCGCCACTGCATAATTTCCATCAACTTCCTAATCGAGCAACCCATAAGGGATATTTTAGGGACTTCCATTCTGAGCCTTAACCAAAATTAACCGAAACAAAAGTCTTATGAGAAATAGCCACCCAAAACCCAAAATGAAAACAAACAAATTTCTTGGACGAAAATTTCTTGCTCAGCTCTCTCAGAAGAGGGGTAGTGGCCTACTTAGCCAACCAATGCAGCACCTTCAACCCATCCTCGAATGCAGCGGGATACCAATTCTCAGGGGCTAACCTGTAACCAACAGCCAACACAATGACATCACACGCCTTGGCAATCCGCCTGCAAGACAAATCATTCACCACTGAAGCATTGCTCCCACTCACGAACCCTCCACCGTGAAACTGCAACATGACGTGCAATTTTCGACAATTTTGGCATCCAAGATTATATCCTCCGTAAACCCCACTATCCGATTTCAAATTGACATCGTCACTGCTATAGCCATAGCTATTTCTCCGATGGTTCTAATTTCGGATGGTCACGGTCGGTGTCATGATAGTGACTCCATTGGCAGAGCCATAGTTGTTCCACCGGAGAATAAGTTGGTTAAGGCCGGTTCCGAGATGTGGTTACGCTCTCGGACCGGTTATCAGAGGCTTACCAAGGGTTTATTATTCTGATTAGGCCGGATAAGAGCATGGTGGAGAGTCAGGTGATGCAGACGCAGGAATTTGTGGAGCAGAGGAGAGCGGCATTGGAAAGGTATTTGAGGAGGTTGGCCAAGCATCCAGCCATTCGGAGAAGTGAAGAGTTAAGGTTGTTTCTGGAGTCACAAGGAAAGCTGCCGCTAGTGAAACCTATGGATGTTGCGTCAAGGATGTTAGATGGGGCGGTGAAGTTGCCGAAGCAGTTGTTTGGCACGGAGGCTGTTACGGGAGTGGTGGATGTGAATGAGGTGGTCCAGCCTGCAAAAGATGGGAAGAATTTGCTGAGGCTTTTCAAGGAGTTGAAGCAAAGCGTTACTAATGATTGGGGTGCAACGAAGCCACCTTTGGTATAGGAGGACAAGGAGTTTATGGAGAGGAAAGATAAGTTGCAGGAATTGGAACAGCAGCTCAGCAATGTCTCTCAGCAGGATTGTTCCTTTTTTTAATTTTGGTTAAGACTCAGAATAGAAGTCCCTAAAATACCCCTTCTGAACTGCTCAATTGGGAAGCTGATGGAAATTATGTGGTGGCACCGCCGCTAAGCTTCTTGATTAGAACCTAAATATCAGTTTATGGATTAAATTGACTATAAATAATGCATAAGGACTAAATCGATGAAAAAAAAAGTTTAGGGACTAAATTGATGATTTTTCTTATTTTTATTCTCAAATGTGTAATCCCTAATGTTATGCCTTGGCGGTCGCGCGGGGAAAATTGCTTCGTCTTCCACGTGTTACTCCAATTTAGGGATACAAACAAGTCGAGTCGAGTCAAATTTTGGTTTAATTGAACCGAGTCTCCAGTTAATTTCATGAAACTCGAACTCGAGCTCGAGTTCGACGAGTTCAAAATGTCAAGTTCGAACTTAAAAAATAAAAAAGTAATAATAATTTTTTTAAAAAATGAATAAAATAATAAATTTTTTAACAAATAATAAAATATTAGGGATATATGTAATTTTACTATTAAAATAAAAAATAAAAAATAAATATATATATATATTCGAGCTTGCGATTCGCTCGCGAGCCAACGAGTTTAATGTTTTTGAGTTCGAGCTCGACTTAATTAGCTCGAGCTCGATATTGATCGAGCTTGAGTCAAACTTGTCGCGAGTGGCTCGATTCGTGAACAACCCTACTCAAATTCACCACTTAAATTTAATATATTCAAATTTTAATATATTCAAGCGCATTTGATAACTAAAATTAAAACATCCGAATTCATTAGGTAGTATTGATTTTTTAAACAAATTTTATTCCAATAAATAAGTGATAAACTATTCATTTTATCATTTAACGTGATATACATTCAAATATATCAAATTTAGTACTTAACAATTCACTAATTTAATAAATTCAGATTTCAATTTTCAATTCTTAGACTTCAATTTTATCAAATGCAGTCATATGTTAATGCCACCCTCCTATCTACCCATATATATTTGAATTATTTATAAACTATATTTAAAAGCATGTATTAGGCAAGTATAATACGAGTTGTTGTGTGATAGTTATTAACAATTAAATTGTGTATTGTGTCATTTGGACCATATATAGCCATACACAAAATTACTTAACGAACCCAATTTTTTATAGCAAAATTGCTAATTCCATCACTAGAATTGTAAATTCATAAGATAAGGGGGTGAGAGGAAAATATAGAAGAACAAATAATCAAGTCCTTCTTAATAATTTTCATAATAACGATTGACAAAACAAAAACAGTGATGGAAGTTATTAGTTGTAGTTTCACATTTTATCTCATGATCTCCTAATGAATCAATAATATCCACATAATTTCTATATAAATTTATACAATTTATAACCCACTTTTAATAATAGCATCAATAAAAATGCCAATTATACTGCCACTCATATATTAAAGACCATTTTTTTGGGAGTATTTTAAAAATATTTTACTGTAATAGCGTATATAAAAATTTTTTATTGTAGATATTTTTTGTGGTATTTAGGGAGGGGTATTTAGAATATATTTTGGGGTACCTTTTAAAATTTTAAAAATTTTAGGATACTCTTTAAAAATTAACACTATCACCCACATTCTTATCCATAATTTGGTCGAGGCGATACTGGAGGGGAGAGGATGGGCAAAGGGTGGCGGGGAAGGAGAGGGAAGGAGGAAGTTGGGGTGGCAATGGTTGGTAGGGATAGTGGTGATAGTTGAAAAATGTTACAGAGTTTATTATATATATATATATATATATATATACTTGTTAGTTTTTTTTTTATATATGTATAGATGAGGTGTTTTTATTTGTATATTACTATAACATTATATTTGAAAAACTAGTTTTTGAAAAATAAATCAATCCAAACGGAACCTATCCCTAGATCATAGTTGGTGTTACTCAAAACTCAGAGGATCATTATGCAAATTTATCTTTTACATTATTAAATAAAATTTCAAATACTTTAATGGGATTGACAACCCATAAGCCTTTGAAGGTGCAAGAAAATGATAGTTTATTCGTAAATGAGTATGCATGTTTTTCTTTTTGTGGTTAAATATAAGTGTTGGATTTTTTATAAGGGGATACCATTTTATCTTTAGTTGTAAGGATAGAATTTAAAGTTTAAATTCAATAAAAAAAAAAAAGTGACATTAAGCCAAATTTGTTGTGAGGAAAAAAGTAGAAGCTTAAAGGTCAATAAAAAAAATTAACACTAAGCCAAAAACAACAACATCATGACAAATTGTTGCAAGGATAGAATTAGAAGTTCAAAAGTTAGTAAAAATTATTAACACCAAGTCAAAATCAAGAAAATAGAGGGTCTGGGTAGTATAAAAGAGGGGATGAACTCAACCGACTGACAGCGCAATGGATCTAAGATCACATACCATTCTTTTCTACTCTAACCTTCCGATGTAAGACAATTGAGGGTATCACACATTCACCTCCCTTAAAAGGCATTTGTGTTCTCACAAATGTGCAAAGCTGGTCATAATTTCTATTATCTGCTTAGTTGCGGGGACCTTAGCTCCTGGATTCCCTTGCACAGTTAGGTTAATGTAGCACTTAACTCTTACATTTCCTTGCACCTTTAGGTTAATGTAGCACTTAATTTCTATATCCCCTTGCATAGTCAAAACAATTACATCGGTGGATTATAGCTCATGTGTTTACTTGCGTAGTCGAAATTATAACATCACTGATCTAAACTAATCTTATGTGGAGACCAAGTAAAATTCGTTTTGATACCAACTATAACATCCCAATCTCAAGGTGTGGCACAGCAACCTTTGAGTAAAATTCAGGAGTTCAAAATGGTTAATTGAGGTTATTAGTAGCCCAATGGATTTAAGGTCATTACTGTTCCTTTCCACTCCAAACTTTGACGTGGGGCAATTGGAAATATCTCAAGTTATGGATTAGGGAAAGATGGTGCAAAAGTAAGGGTGTCAAGGTTTGGGGTGACGAAGAGGAAAATTGAGGGAAGGGATGACCCAGGCTGCAAAGGGTTGCAGCGGGAGAAAAGGGGAGATTTCATGTGTTGGCAGGGAAAGAGTACTGACTGTAGGGCGAAAAAGAAAGGCAGTGGTTGGCTAATGTGTTTGTTTGAAAGAAGAGAGTGAGGGTGAGGGTGAATTTTTTTTTTTTTTTTGAAACAAAACACAAAAAAAAAATCCAATCTAAACATAAAAATAACTACAAGGATTAAAAAGAAAAACAATGTATGCGAAAAAAAATCAAATCGTTAACAAGAAAAAATAGATTGACACATGAATAAGGGCATTGAGAACCAAAAAAATTGAAAAATTAAAAAATTTTGAATTAGTCTAAGCCGAAAAATAGAATATTGAAATTGAGAATTCATAATGATCAATTATCTAAATTCATTTCAAGCAACTAGCTTGGTGTATGATTTTTTATTCTTTAAATTCTATTATCCAAACCTAACCACACATGTATGGTACTCACTTTATTGCTTTTAAAATTTTTCTTCTCTTATGGAGGTTTGTTTTTCATTTCTTTCTATCGAGCTTACTAACATTAATCGTGCTTTTAAAATTCTCGAGTTTCTGTGTTTGATTGAGGTGCGACTTGTTATCATTGTAT